ATGTATTCTTATGAGTGAAAAATGTAAGCTGGTAATACAGAAAGATGTTTTATAAATAATATGAATGTACTGGTGATCTGTATATTCATCTTTTTCTTGTTCTTAGAACTGTAAATTAAAAATCCACTCAACAGTCGCATCGTACGTTGCAGTTCTTTCCATGTGTTGCGAAATGCTAAATTTGCCGTCCTCTTCAACCCAAGTTATCTATTGAACCACTGATTGTAAAAAATTCAAAAAAATATATTTTACGCATCACACTTTTGGCTACAACTTTGCCACAGACAAAACCTGTCTAACCCAAAAACAAAAAAAATCTCGCATGCTAACTTTTTCATGTTAGAAATCACGATTTAAAACTATTTCACCATACATATAAATTTTTATTAATTAGATCGGTAAATAGTTTAAAGTTCCAACAAAAGAGACATCGAGTAGGACTAACCAAGAAGCTCTGTGCCAATTTTCAAAATTTTAGCACAACTTTAAGTACACCAAAACACGAAGTTATTGAAGTCATGCGTCGAGAGGACTATCGTTGTTTTTAACAGACTATACTTTTGACCTTCTGGCACTGTTGACTCAGCGAAACTGAACTTATATTTTATCTTATTTCGTTATATTAAAACTGCTGTTGCATTAGGTCAAATTCCCAATAAGTCAATTGCTTTAACATAGACCACGTTTTTAGCTCGGACTGTACTATTTGACTTACTGGGATTTTTGATCTACAGACACTGCAAACATTGTAGTTTTTGACCTAGCGGCACAGGTATAAATTATTTGACCTTCCGGGACTGTTGACTTTCTGCAACGCGTCCGTACTATTTGACTTACTGGGATTTTTGATCTACAGACACTGCAAACATTGTAGTTTTTGACCTAGCGGCACAGGTATAAATTATTTGACCTTCCGGGACTGTTGACTTTCTGCAACGCGTCCCTCCCCAAGGTTCTTGGTATGTGCTGAAACCTTTCTTAGGGAGTAAACATGTAACCATAGATTAAAAATGAATAATTAGGACAAAAAGTATTACAATGTATTAGGCCCTGGTTGTTGGTGTCATGGGCCCTGTATAGTTTATTTCGTCCAATTCCATAGATTTGTTTAGTCCCTCCGACTTGACTAAGCAACAGTTTCAATTTTTCAATAAATGAAAATTATTATTCTAAGGGATTATTTTCTTGATGTCTATGCATGCCGAGATGCCAGTGGCATTTTTACTCGAGGAATTGTAAGAGAAAGTGCTCAAATTATTTGAGGGAAAGCGGTCCAAAGAATTGTCATTTGATGTTTCTCCAAACTGTAAAACTCATTGTTGCTGTATACATTATGGCCTCTAATATTTGTGTACCCATGTAGCACAGATGGTTGGGCCAACGTTGGCCAACTGTGGGACAGTTGGTCGATGGTTGGTTGGAGCTTCCACAACCAACCAACCGTTGTCCAACTGTATATCTCGTAGTTGGGCCAACCAATATTTACAACTGTGGACCAACATTGGTTCATTGTTAATGAAATACATTAATATGCATTGCTCGGTATCATACATCAAGCCAACCGTTGTCCAACCGTTTTTCACTCCGTTGGACCAACAAAAGATACTTTTGTTGGACCAACAATGGTCCATAGTTGAGTTTACACGACTTTCATTCTCTGGGTCTAGCTTTCACTTTCACAACATAATTATAATAAAATATCTGGTTTTACAATACCTTTATCAGTTCCAAAAGTTTCCAAAAGTTTTTGGAAATGATAAAGGTATTGTAAAACCAGATATTTTATATATTACAGTTCCGGCGCTACAACAATGAATTTTAATAATGCAAATATTTTTTAAATTAATATTCTTTAACTTATTTGCAACAATTTAAGGGGAAAGAGTAATTAATCATATAACAGGCAATTATAATAGCATTAACAATCTAACGGTAATTAATTAATCATTCAAATACCAGTATCCTCTCTAACTCCAAAAAAAAAAAAAAAAAAACTACTTATGATGCCTTAACAGATTAACAGAATCATATTATACTGTGTAGTATCAAAAATGTTTGAAGTATTGCGACCATTGCAACTGTCGGCTACTCTTTCACCACTTGAAAACTCTCTATATCAGCAATCACAGATAGCTCAGTGGTAAAGTAAGAGGCTCATAAGTCGAAGGACCCGGGTTCGAGACCCGTCTGGGCCAAAGAAATTTTGTTCTAGTTTTTTTTCAAAATTTGTTTTTATGAACTATTTAATCAATTTACTCAACTAATAATTATGCTTTTCGTACTAAATCTTTATTATTTTGTGTGAAATAAAACGGTTGGACAATGGTTGGCTGGAAAACAGTTTAAAGAGGTGACATTTCTACCGTTGGCCAACTGTGTGGCTCCACAATTTACCAACGTTGGCCCAACCATCTGTGCTACATGGGTATGTACTAAATCCAGTGGGATCTTTTACGCGTTGTATAGGCCTACGGGAAATGTCCAGGGACCCGGTCTTGTCTTACAATAGTATGCAAAGTTCTTGACAATGCGTTCTTGAGCGCAGCTTCGCTACACGGTGATATCAGTTGCCATACTAAATTTCATTGACCATATTTGAATTTAAACTATAGAAACCCCATTCATCACGATTTTTTGTAACGCGTTTAACTTAAATAGAGATAGCTTAATTCTTAAGTAACAGCTGTCAGGTGTCTACACTAAACTTACTGAGATGAAATAATAACTTAGACAATCCATCTATTCTAACTTTTAAATTAAGTGGGATCAAATTAAAAATATTTAGTTTTGTCGTACTTTGACTTAAGTTATCATCCAATTAAGAAGAGCTCTAGGCCTAACCTAGGGCCTAAGTTATTATCAATTCAGGATGTTTATGTCTTTCAATCATTTTTTACAAAAACATTCAAGGAAACATGTAGGCATAGGCCTACTTTCTATTAGCAACCAAAGCTGAAGTACTTTCACAAATGTTTTTTCTCTAGCCAATTTTATAGTCCTCGCCACCCTAACTAGATAAACGGCGTGCGGCCTTGGGCTGCCTCAAGTTAGGGTGGCGAGGACTATAATCACAAAATTAATTTAAAAGAGATTGTTTAAAAGGTTAACTAACTTAGGGTAAATTAGGCTATAGGCTAATTTAACTTATGAATGTTCTACAGTTAAGTATCTGTCATGCAGTTTATAAAAGAAGGCCTATAACTTATCTTTGGCTATGTTAACTGCTGAAACTCTATGGCAGGTAGGCCTTACATTTTTGGGCTATCACAATTCACAATTAAGGCCAATAGCAGTTTTTCCTTAAATTGCAACATGTAACTTAGCATCATGAAGGCATTTGCCCAACCTATTCAAAGTTAAAAATATGTAACTAGAGGTACCGTACATTTGCCTAGTTGTGCTCAATAAATAACTAGTAGAACCTTTGTAACTTAACTTATTAGGATTATTACATACATGATACATGATACATGATACATGATCTCTCCGTCCTTAGTCCTTTGCCTTAAGGAATTGGACAGGTCAGGGTTAATACAAAGAATAACCAGCTTAATACTAATTTTTGTCACCATCTAGGTAACTGTCTATGTCCTCTAAACTTAACTCTACTAGATATTTTTTTAATTCTGATTTGAATTTTGTTAAGCTCTGAATTTCAAGTAATTTTTTCGGTAGGGCCTGGTACAATTTCATTCCCATGTAATCTGGTTTGTGTTCAAATTTTGTGAGTTTATGTTGGACTGCATGTGTGCCCTTTGTTCGTGTGTTGTAAGTGTGATTTGTAAAAGTTGGTTTAATGTTCTGTGATTTTATATAGCAAACTGATTCATAGATATAAAGTGAAGGGACTGTGAGAAAGCCAAGTTCTTTATAAACATTTTTGCAGCTGGTCCGAGGCGGCATGCCCAAGATTGCTCTTACTGCCATATTCTGCCAGACAAAGATCTGGTCAATATTCGTCTTAACAGCTCTCCATAGAATGATTGAATACAAAATGTGCTGTTCTATTAGGCCAAAATACACAAGTTTAGAGAGAGCCAGGTTTCCGAAGGTTCTTATTCTTCGAAGTACAAAGACCCCTCGAGCCATAGACCCCTCCAGTTTTTTTATTTGTGCATCCCAGCTCAATTTATCGTCCAATCTCACCCCCAAAAAGTCGGCAGTTTTTGAAATTTGAATTTGATCCTCTCCAATTAATAGGTTCGGAGTCCTATTATTTTTTAAATTTTGTATTTTTGCAGTTTGGATACACATCCTGTTTTTTGTGAATTTAATTTGAGTTTGTTTGAGGAAAAAAAGTCAGCCAGATCATTTGCTCTTTGATTAGATTCTGCCTCCAGGGCCGCGTCGTCAGTTCCCCTTACGAACAACGTTGTGTCATCCGCAAAGAGGTAGACGCTGTCCTGGGGAACAGTATCTGTGATGTTGTTGATGTAGACCAAGAAAAGGAGAGGTCCAAGGACAGATCCCTGGGGGACGCCATTGGAGATCAATTTTTTTGTTGACGAAATTCTTTCAGTTTTTGAATTTGAGTTTTTTTGAATCTCAGTGACTTGGAATCGGTTGCTCATATAGGATGTGAGCCACTTCAGCGCAAGTCCTGAGATTCCAATTGATGCCAATTTTTCCAATAGAATCGCAGGTTCGACACAATCGAAGGCTTTGGAGAGATCAGCAAAACACATTAACATCCCATATAGCACAGTTAGTATTCGTTATGTACATGATACATAACAATGCAACTTAAAAGATACGTATAACAAAATATATACCTGCTTAGTATCATATATGTTTCTTCAGCGTCAGTTGGCGGTACATACTTTTTGCAACTGTTTGGAAGGTAGAAAGAAGTATAATTTGCAACCTACCCATAATTCTTTGCGAATGCTTTCGCGCATGCACTGTTCGTTTCGTACTCGTAGTGAACATCGTCTGTCGTCTGTCATTGCTGGCTGGTAGTACTGGCTTGCTTGACGGTACTGACTAGTGACCACAGTGACTACTAACTGACTGGATTTATGATTAGGATTGTGCCATAGGCTTAGTTTTAACATACAGTTTGGTTTGGTTTATTTTATTATGGATACAGGATAACTGACATGACAACTGTTGTGAAGTGATTTGGATTTGGCGCTTTAAATAATATTTTGAAAACCATGAACGATCTTATTGCATATGAGAAATATGAAACATTTATTTAGTGAAATTAACTTGGTACTTAGCCTACTGTTTTGAACGTAGGCGTAAAGCAGAGATCTCTGCCTTTACTACACTTAGCCAACTCAAGGTACGTTGTAGGTTATGTAGCCTAAATCACGTTAAATATAAGTTGTTAAGTAGGTACCGTACATGAGAACTCATTTTTAACTCTGGACACTTTGCCTAACGCAACTTTTAACAGCTAGGCCTAAGTTAGCCTATTCAGGACAAAAGATTGATTGGCCTTTCAATCCTAATTAACATAAGTAAGTTAGCGATGAGCATCGATAGTTCAGGCATCGATGCCAACCACCGATGTACCAAGACTGGGATAGTGGCGTCTTCCTATAATCCAACTAGGGTAGACTTCTGTATCTGTTGTCTAAAACAACCGAATAAAATAACAATCGATGTATCGAATAATTTTTCATTCGGTTGTTTTTGACAGCCACGGAAGTGTACCCTCTAACTACTTACTAATTAGGACTAAGTAAAGAGGTCATGAATTGTGGGTAGGTATTTAACTTATAGACATACACTGTGGATGCGATACTCCCTGGTGTGGATTATCGTCCACACAAGGGAGAAGGTAGTTTTGCCATAAGTTTAGGCTATGGCAATTTGTAAAAAAGAGGAGATTTTAGCTGGTGGTCCCCACTACAGTATAACTTAGGCCTAAATAAATACAAATTTACGGGCTAGCTAAATTGCATAAGCCTACTTAGCACAAATAAATACTTTACCAGAAATTTTATGGGTCACACTTATAAAAAAAATTAAGTTATGTCACTGGCCCGAAAGTATAGGCTTTTATTAATATTTAAATGGAACTGTCAAAAAACGTCCAAACCAGTTGTTACGTCTATTAGTAAGTTAGGCATGTTGACATTCGGGACGGTGTGTTAATGTTTATTAACCTATAGCCTACCGTTTCTGTTTGATATTCGTGCTACAATGTCAATATTCAAATATGGTACGCAAAAGCATTAAAGTTACATCTTGCTTGCCACATCTCACTATAAATAACTAATAACTTAAAACGATCTCTGTCTGCTAGACTCGGTTCGGCATTGGTAGTCAACACAGATCCTTCAAACTGACCGGCAGACGTGAATTGAAGGACTGGGAGCAATGAAACAGACAATAAATTAAGACTTTAATAATTATGGTACAATAACTCGTCAAGTAATCCGAATGTTGATTGTCAGGTTTAACAACCTAGCCTACATGTTTCGCTGTAAATGCAGAATTGTCAGGGTTACAAAACATAAGACATCGATGTCACACGCACACAATAAATACACAAACACCAACTTTTAATTAGCATTAATAGGCCAATCACACGCACATGACATGGACGGTCCCGGCTTAAGAAGTGTAGTAGCTCGTATTTATTGTGTGCGTGTGACATCGATGTCTTATCTTGAAAATGCCGCATTTACGGCAAAACATGTAGCTTGTTAACCTGACGATCAACATTTGGATTACTTGACGAGGTGTTGTAGGCCTACCTTAATTATTAGTCATATATATAGGCTAGTAAGTTAATCCAGGTATAATATTAGTAATCAACATAGAATTTAATAAACACAAGGGCGTCAACATAGAATCAACATAGAATTTAACTAAGGGCGTTGTTTTCCAAAGTGAAACTAAGGAATTAAAAAAAAATGTTAGTAGGCCTAGAGAGTAGGCCTACAAGAGTTGCACTTTTATCAGTCATTGCATACACTATTTGCAAACACAAACATTTATTTTATTCCAAAAGCGTCGTTATACCCTTTTGGACCGGCCATATATTAGCCTAGGCAGCCTAAGTTAGCCTATATGTCGCGCTGCGTAGGACGAGGGTTACTTACTTTTAACAGTTTCTGCAATTTTATAGAAAAATTCTATAACTTTTGAATACCTATCTGCCTTGCTTGCCATGCCCTTTTTTTTAACATTTCTTGTATGCTATTATTTTTTTTTAATTTTAACTTTAATTTTGTTTGTTTGATATACCTAATTGTTTATTTAAACTGCCAATATATTGGAAAGTGTTCACGCTGGGAGAGCCTCAGTACCTCTAAGTACAGGGAGGAGATCTGTCTGCGTAGTACTCGTTCCGACCGCAGGCTTTACTTTTCTAAGTGAGGTTGCAAGTCAATTTACTTATTTCGGCCCACAGTTGTACAATGGCCTCCCTCAGGACATAACGCCAAATCCTATGGTGGCTCGTGCGGATGTTAATCCACACCAGGGAGTATCGCATCCACAGTGCATGCCTATAAATATCCCCAATTCGTGACCTCCTAGTAGCTGGATTACAGGACGACGCCACCTGTCCCAGTCTACTGTCACCTCGAAAACAAGACTATTTTCCTGTTCCCCTAGAAACACATCTTATCGAGGTTCTTCTACTGTATACTACACTACTGCTGCTCACTTGTTTTCCTATCATTGTGATTTATTAATTTAGGCCTATGTTTGACAGTTCTCCGAAGTGAGAGTTTCCCATTGTGTCTCCTGGAGTGAGCTGCCGCCACAGGTCACAATTGAAGCTCTCATCCCCCCGCCGTTTACTCTGGACGACGCTGCTTCTTTTGTAAGTTTTTATTACTAGTATTAATTTCTTGTTTTGTTATTAACATGAAACCATTTTTGTTAAAGATCATCTTATACATCTGTGGAACGAAAGGGTGTAAAAAATAAGTTGGTTTTGATACACAAAATATTTTTTTTTTTTATTTTGAGTCAAGCTACACAACAAGATGGATCTCTCTACTAACTGTATTAATCCTTAGAAAAACTAAGGAGTTAGATCACTGTTTCATATCCTACCGAAACATTAATGATTACATTTTTACCAGCTGAGATTTACATAGGTATCAAAATAAACATGAGATGAAAAAAGTTCATTTGTTAGCTACCATTAGATTCTTACTCTTTTGGTAACAATTTACGACACCATACTCACTGTAAACTCACTTCCTGACGTGTTATGTAAAAATTGTGTATAATAAAGTTTTGGAGGATAATCATTGGTTTGATAAGAGAAAGGGCATGTAGTAGAGGGAGGCTGAGCTTCATGGGGATTCGTGATTGCACAAATTGTTTTAGAAGGTAGACGTTAGATTAGGTAAGTTTAAGTGTGGGTTATAGTGAACCAGGTAATTTACTATGTTACATCCATACAGGCTTTTGTTCAAGAAATTTGACATATCAGAAAACTGAGCAGCTGTGTACAGGCTTCTTACAAAGCCCAGATATTTTCAAAATGCTAACAATTATTCTGAATACAAAATATACTATGATCTGGCCTTTTCTCAACTAATTGACTCGTAATTTAAAAACTTTAATATTCTCAACTATGGGCTGCAACCGAGATTGTGTTTCTGCCGCTCATTTTGTCTCGAACGTATTGGAATTAAAAAAAATAACAAGATTTGCTGTGATCATTGTATCAGGCAAAAATTTAAAAAAATTGATCAAAGCAATCAACATTCAGAAAATATCTTAAACAAATACAGTACACTCAGAGGTGCCAAATACAAAACAACCCGGTTGAAAATTTTAAAAATTCATCATTTTTAATTCCACCAGCATACAGTAGACCTCAACCCCAGCCGATAACTCCCAACAACCTTACCATCAGCATCAGCAGCCCACTAACATTTCCAGGTTACGGTATCTTTTATTTTTAGTGAAGTGATCAAGATACCGGAAAGTGTTTTTAAAAAAGCAGAGCAGTGAAAGTCCAAATAGTATTGTAATAGAAAGTAGCAATAGTAATATAACATTTATTTAATACATTAGCATCGGCATTTAATTATGTGCTGGGCCACAGAATAGTATTTATACCTCTCAGTGGCTAGACGTCAGAATCTAACAAGTAAAGTATAGGATTGATAGTGCATTGTTGAGTGTTGATAGAGACGAGGATGTTGAATGTTTAATGAGGCTTAGTAGGATATTATTTTCTAAGGTACCTTTTCAATGAACCATTTGATGAGGGAGGCAAAGATTTTAATGATAAAGAAGGAGATCTTAAAACCTAAAGAAATTTTCTCTCTACAAGACAGAGATGACTTATAATTATTTATTGATTTAACCAAACTTTTTTTTAGCAAACTATGTTTATTTGTAGTTTCACAGTTTTATCATATGTATTTGTCATTTATAGAGGTACATAGAAAACTAATAAGGTATTATTGACTTATTGAGTTATACATAGGAAACGGTTTACATCAAACAAACAATACAAGGTGTATGATTTTATTACAACTCAACAGTCAATTTTATGTTACATCAACTTAGCATATTCAGAAGGTTGTAAATTAAATGTTTTACACCATTTTTATATTTTGAGGGATTACAATATATCGCAAAACTTAATGAAATATGGCTTTTTAATTGTAGCCTACCCGGTCAAAAAGACTGTGCAATTCTCCTCAAGTTTTCAATTCAGTGCAACACTTAAGGAAATAGATCTGACTTATTTCAGGATATTTTTCTAGTAAAAATCCTATTACACGATCATAAGTTCACTTAGTTTGCAGGTTTACTGCAGCAGGGGTACTTATTTCTTTATTGTTTTTAAACTATATGTTACCTCCAGAATGCAATGGTCTTCGTAATTATATTTTTCTGTATAAACTATACATTCAATTCTTATCATTATTGGTAATTAATATTTCATACAGACACCATTAGATGCTTTTGACTTGGCTGAGTTGATTGTTTCTAACCTTGGCGAGGTTTGGCTAGATTGTTCGACACTGTTGCGACCAGTTTCTCTGATGTCCAGTGTTGCAGCTTTGCTGACACTGTTGATACTCAGCTCTGTTGGAAGACTTTCCTTTACTAAAGCTGATTTTGAGAAAATCATCGATGAGATCGTTAAAGCTGAGAATATTATTCCCAAAATAGCCGTACAAACGCCTACTGCCACAAACTGGAACAGAAAAAGTAAAACGTTACACTTTTTTGCATCCTTGAGGTTATTATTTTATTTTATATTTTAACAACCAACCTGTTTCGACTCCTAGTCCATGATTACAGTTAAACAAGGTTACTTGAGACAGTGGCCGCTAATCAAATTATTACTTGTTAGCTCCAGAAGTCCATATGATCCTCATTATATGATCTGTACCTCAGGGTCCGCGGAATTGGCTAACTCTGGAACTCGCTAACCCCATGTTAAACGCCCTATCTTCAAATTTGGTCGATGAGAGGAACTCGCTAACTTGTTCGGTTTCGGAATTGGCTAACTCCGGAACCCGCTAACCCGCTCTAGAACCGGGTTAGCGAATTCCGTCCTCGTACGGAAGTCGCTAACTCGGTCCCTCGGCGGAACTCGCTAACTCCCAATCAGAAGCCTCGTCCAATGGGAGTCAAGCACGAATATTTTTGGCCAGTGTTGCCGAAAGTGTAGTACCTATATCGTATCGGTACCAAAATGTCGTATCTTACGATTAATTAGTAGTAAGAGCAACGTAGTCGATAAAATAAATATATTTGGAAGTATGTTTAACATTATTCTTATGATTATTAGGGTGGAAAATGCATTATAGTCTTACCATAGACTAACCAACACAAGTAAACTTTACATCCCATTGTAAACTTTGAAGCTCGTTTTTCGTGTCTAGTTCATGTCCGGTGACACTGATCGCTAGTGTCGACAAAATTGTGTTTCTATTATTTCATAGTTAACTTCATGATTTGTTCTTTACTGTTTGGTTATATAACTAGAGGACGTGTTATTAGTTGTGATTAGAACGTTTTACTTGGTTAAACAAAGTTTTTAATGACTGAAAACAAGAAACAATTGTAAACAAAACACGACCTCTAAAGACGGTGCACCGGACAGAACTAACAATAAAACTGTCTTCAGCTGTCTTCAGCTGTCTTGAGCTTTTATGGCTCGCCATAAAGATGAGAAATCATACTAATATTATAAATGTGAAAGTTTGTGTGTTTGTGTGTTTGTTTGTTTGTTTGTTTGAAGTTCAATCACGCTTTAACTACTGGACGGATTGGGCTGAAATTTGGCATAATGTTAGCTCACATTCCCGATTAACATATAAGCCTATTCTTATCTCAAAAATCCTTCCGGGCTCTGCCCCAGTGGCTCTATGGATTCCTATGTTAACCTTATGAGTATTCACATTTAAAAGGAATTAAAGAATTTAGTCAGCTGTTTCAACTAAACAAGTTGGTTCTATGATATGCAATAGCATTAAAACGTTATAAGGGTTACCAACAGGGTACAACACGATTAGGCCATTTTTTGTTTGCATTTTTGACAAAAGCTAATTGAACTAAGCAGCAACAAAAGCTGTGATACGCAATGAGAACTATCAAAGTAGGATTGTTTACAGTTATTTTTAGGCCTATATGACCATTCAATGAATCATTTGTGATATTGTGCAAAGTCTTGATAATTTGTTTTCTATTGTTTAGGTGCAGTAGTAGAGCATTATGGCTATGGTAAATGTGTTATACTATAGCATACCGTAAACTTCAAGAACCAAATTTTATCAAACTGTGTCGTCCCCCATTGCAAACACAAAGCTTGAGTATGACTGCAATAAACATTTTACACTTATATGCCAACCCCGTACGAAGGACGGGTACTCTGCTAGTGTACTAATATAAGGGAGTATGTGTTATATGTGGGTTTCTTACTTTAATAGTAGCTTTTTGGTATGCAAAAAGATAAAAATGCACATTTAATTCGGATCTATTACATGTTATGAAATATCTATTTTCGTAGTCCGCCATTTGTTTCTTTTATTCGAATAAATACCATTTTGTGAACTTCTGCAAATAAAATTGTTGAGTTCGCATTTTATATACTGGGCGTGTAACCTTGAATCATAAATCATAATAAAATTTACACGTTATTACAGAATTACATTGTAGTGGTAATGTATTTTTAAATAGAGCTATTGAATTTAAATAAATATTTATTAATACACTATAAAGTGGTAGGCTTAAAATGTATTCATGGATTGCATTAAAAATGAGTCTATGCATAAATACAACTTGCAAATTTCTTTTATCATAGGCTATTATCGTGTAGAACCCGGGTCATCCTCTTGTTTGTTGAATTAATATTAATTTTACGTCTTTCAGTAGGCCTATTTGTTAAAAGTCTAGAGTTTTTTTCAGGCTGGTTCTAAATGGACCCAGGCGTTCTTGTTTGTAAAAATTCTTATGAATGGTGGCCATAGCTAAAATTACTTGATCTTATCCAAAAACAAAGCTATTGTCTATTGTGTAGCTCAGTACCGGTTAACGGTGAACCGAGCAATGCCTTGGTATCGTTTATATAGTTTGTGAAAGCAATAATATAAAGGAAACCCAACATTAAAAAAAATCAGGAAAATCCGTCAAATCGTTTATTAAGAATCGTGAATTAAAATAACCCTGTCATGTTTTATTATATGAATATTATATCTTCTCCTATTTTTTACTAGTGGTGCTTAGGTGTACAATCTAAAAACGGTTTTAAAACATGTAACATTATTGCTAAAAAATTCAACACATTTTAGAATTATGCAACTATTTACTAGTAGGCCTACATTACTTTAGTTCAAACTATTAGGCCTAGATAAAAACTTAGTATATGTCATCATATTTGTACACGTAAGTTGGACGGTTCAACAACGAACATTTGATTTTAAATCTATGAATTAGTTATGAAATTTACGATAGTTGATGACTGTATTAATTAATGGTTTTGGTTTATTACGTCATTACGATTAAATCTGTTTTCCGTGTTTGAGAACTTGCGTGTATTTTAGCTTAATTTCGTAGGAGTCTAATTATTTAGTACCAATTAAACTGAATTTTCAATATTTTTCATATTCTATTATTTTCTTTTGTACTGATGGCATTTATTTTTAAGATCGAAATCATAAACATTTAACTGGCCATTGTACAGTTACATAAATAAACACTTTTCATAATTTTGCAATTGTCTTTGAATTACTTTGGGCTAGTTATCTGTTAAAAGTGGAATTGATAACAAAAAACAATAACATTTACTGTATCTTCATTGACACTGACATTTTAAAATACGGCAGTGTACGATTATTTTGTCGTACAATGTTGGCAACGCTCCGTGCAGTGGGCGCGGCCGGGTTAGCGACTTCCAGAGTTAGCGAATTCCGCCGCGAGACAAAATCGAGTTAGCGGGTTCCGGAGTTAGCCAATTCCTGACTGAGACGGTTAGCCAGTTCCAGAGTTAGCCAGTTCCGACACACGACCGAGTTAGCGAGTTCCTGAGTTAGCCAATTCCTACGTCTCGTCAGGGCCGGATTTCCCAATAGGCCCAGTAGGCCCGGGCCTATGGGCGCAAGCTCCCAGAGGGCGCACGGCCGAGAGGAAAAATATTTTTTAATATCTAAAAATAAAATAAATAGCCATAGCTTAACATATTTTGATAGTTGATAAAAAAGAACTCTTTCCAATAAAGCATTATAATTAAATAACTGTTAAAAAATTTAAACTATTTTTCAACATTACGCATCAATTTCGTTACAATATTGGTAACGAACATTGGTTATTCGGGAGTAGGCTGTAGGAATGTTGTCAAGCGCCCGAGCGGTACGCATCGTATTGCCACTGTAATCTTTGCACTGCCACTATGCTGGCTCGGCGCTTCTGATCGGAGTGATTAGGGGCGCATGCGTGTAGATACCATTGCTGTTTACCACCCCCATCTCACAAAAATAAAATTTATTAACTAATCTTTTGATCAGTTTATCTGCAGAATCAAGTTAAAATATATAATACGTTTTGTTGGATATTAAAAATACGAGAAGTTTATCTTTAAAATTCAATAACGAAAAAATATTTATCTGAGTCTGCAACAGGTTTTAGAAAAATTAAATCCCATTAATGGGGTTTAAGTATCATTAATGGGGTCATTTTCTCCTCAGCTCAGACCTGAGGATAATTATGGTCGGCGGGACTATTGCTTTGTTTTGCTTTGCAAATAAAATCTGGATGCAGTACTACCATAGATTAACCATAAACTCAAGTCGACTTTTTATCACATTGTTAATTCTAAATAGTTTTTCATGTCTAGTTCATATATGTTGGTGACACTGGAAGTTACTTTTGACGTAATTTTGTTTCTATTATTTTAGGGATAGTTCTATGTTGTGTGTTTTGATTTCTTGTAATATAACCAGGGGACGACCTATTGTTTATTGACACTGGAAGTTAGTTTTGACGTAATTTTTTCCTATTTTTTTAGGGATAGTTCTATGTTGTGTGTTTTAATTTTGTTGTAATATAACCAGGGGACGACCTTTTATTTATGATTAGGTATTATATTTGGATAAACTAGGTTTAAATAACTTAAATAAAAGGAATTGTTTTCAGCTAATCCCTAAGGATGACAAATCTACTAAAGGAGTATGTTTAATCTATGGTAGGTATCACGTACTGTTATGGAGTTCATGTTTTTGGGGCCTGAAATCGGAATCAATGGATATACTCTTTTGCAGGAATGCTCTGTGGGTTGGATTATTTTGTTTCAGTCCCACAAGCGTGAGCATTTGCTAAAAGCATAAAATTGCCAACAGTGTTTAAGACGGAATTTTGTTAAGGCTAACCAAGACAATTCTTAAAAAAAACATGCAATGATAACATTCCGACGAGGAGTGGTGTTCAAGCAATTAACATAGGCCTATGCATGATATAGTTTTAAATAAAGGTTTGTAGGAAAGAAACTGTGACCAGACTAGGGGGCGGAAAAATTATTTGGGCCTAGGGGCGCCAAAATGCTAAATCCGGCCCTGCGTCTCGTACCTCACGGTAAAGAACAACTCTTCGCCAGGATTGGCTTTTATAAAATGTGCCTGGTAATCCAAACAAACTTGCTGTCAACATCTGTGATAGTTAGGGTGCATTTGTCCGTTCCTTCTTTTGGTTGTACTTTTGTACTTTACCAATAAAGTCTTTAGTGTATCTGAAAGTCAAATTTGATGTGTTTGGGACGTTGTTTATAAGTGGTTCAAAAACTGGTCAGTGGTTAGGGTTGTAAAACAATATCATAACAATTTGGTTTTCTCAGATTGAAAATGGAGTTGTTATACAGAATAACAAAAAAAATAATAAAAAAGTAGTTTGTTATATTCTTATTTTAGCTGTTAAATGTAGTCTTTATCTTCTTGTTCGTCAATGTTAAGGAATAAAACCTCAAATGTCCATATTTTTTTGCAACCATCAACCTTATTTTGGTTAGTTCCATGTACCTAACATGGAACCAAAATGGAGTTGGATTTTGCAAAATTGTACTCCTATTTCACATTTTCGGTAAATGCTGTTGTAACAATAATTTATTGAAATAGGGCATATTTTTAACCATAATGTTATCAGGATTTCAGATGAGTTTTTGTAAACAAAGTTACGATAGCATTTTATTGGTTTTTGGACATTACGGCATTTAGAAATTATGAAAAAGACCTGAAAAATACTATACTTAGTGATATTACTTTATATAAATTTTGCGTACAGCCTTGATTTTAGATTAATTTTATATTTTCTATCTACTGAATATCTTAATGTGGTAAAACTATTGTTTAACGGATAAAAAAATATGTACCAAGCAAAAAATATACATGTCTAATAATGTATGATCTTTTTTCAGTGACAATAGATTAACCCAGGAAATAAGGAGATCCTCAGTTTAACACAAGGACCTCGAAAGAAAATCTCAAAAATAATGTGAAATATCTAATATTCAATGTAAGAGTTGACCAAGTACGCAATCACGTCCCTCAAGACGTCTCAAAGTAGTGTGAGAGACCAGTGCAACTGCTAGACATTTAAACAATCCTAAAAGCAAGGAAAATATCTATATAGACATACAAGTTCTAAATATATTAGTTAAGCCTGACATTTAGTTGCTGGTCGATTTGTATAGTTTCAAGTCAGTAAACTCAATAGAACAAGGTTAAGTCACTCTAAAATGTTGCCCCTTAAATGTCCGATATGTAGAACAATTTTTTCATCTCAATCAGCAATGAAAGCTCATATATTAGTGCATACGGGTGAGCGTCCATTTAAATGTTTAACATGTGAGAAAACCTTTATTCTAATTCATCATGTCAAGAAACATTTGTTGACACACTCTAGGAATTGTCCTGATAAAAGCAATACTTCTGGAAAATCTATTAAAAAAATACAAAATTCCAAGAAACATACATTAAGAAACACTGAAAAGCAACCACCAGCCTATAAGTGCACTACATGTGACGAATTCTTCACTTCCAAGACAACTTTGCAAAATCATACATTGGCCCATACTGGAGTACGTCTACATAAATGTGCTACACGTGGAAAATCCTTCAAAATAAAAGACCAAGTAAAGACACATCAAGCAGTTCATACCGTAGAGAGACCTTACAAATGTACCACATGTGGAAAATCCTTCGCATACAAATGCCAAATGAAGCAACATATATTATTAGTTCATACTGGAGAACTACCTCATAAATGTAAGACATGTGGAAAGTTCTTCGCATACAAATGCCAAATGAAGCAACATATATTATTAGTTCATACCAAAAGGCATCCTCATAAATGCTCCACCTGTGGAAGATCCTTTGCATTCAAATCCCAAATGAAGCAACATATGTTAGTTCATACCAAAAAGCAACCTTATAAATGTCCCACATGTGGAAAATCCTTTGCATACAAATGCCAAATAAAACAACATATATTATTAGTTCATAGGGGAGAGCAACCTTACAAATGTACCACATGTGAAAAATCCTTCGCATTCAAATCCCAATTGAAGCAACATGTATTAGTTCATACCGGAGAGCGGCCTTATAAATGTACCACATGCGGAAAATCGTTCACAACTAAACTGAATTTGAGAATACATACATATGTCCATACTGTAGAGCGATTTCACACTTATAGATGTGCTATATGCGGAAAAGCCTTCACATCGAAAAGCAACATGAAGAATCATATATTAGTACATACGGGCGAACGTCCATTTAAATGTTTAACATGCAAGAAAACCTTTATTCAAATACATCAGGTAAAAAAACATTTGTTGACACACTTAGGGAATAGTCTCATTAAGAGCAGTACATCAGGAAAATCCATTAAAAAAATAGAAAATTCCAAGAAACATACATTAGATCGCACTGAAAAGCAACCACCATCCTATAAGTGCACTACATGTGACAAATTGTTCACTTCCAAGACAACTTTGAAAAATCATACATTGGTCCATACTGGAGTACGACTACATAAATATACTACACGTGGAAAATCCTTCAAAATAAAAGACCAAGTAAAGACACATCAAGCAGTTCATACCGTAGAGCAACCTTACAAATGTACCACATGTGGAAAATCCTTCGCATACAAATACCAAATGAAGCAACATATATTATTAGTTCATACTGGAGAACAACCTCATAAATGTACCACATGTGGAAAGTTCTTAAAAAACAAGAGCAATATGAAGAAACATGCATTGGTTCATATTGGAGAGCGGCCTCATAAATGTGCTACATGCGGAAAATCTTTCATATTCAAAAAATCTTTGGAGCTACATATATTAGTACATACCGGAGTACGAGCTCATAAATGTACTATATGTGGAAAAAACTTCAAAAGAAAAGACACTCTAAATACACATCAACTAGTTCATACAGGAGAGCGACCTTATAAATGTAATACATGTGGAAAATCCTACACAGCTAAACGTCATTTAAGGGAACATACACTTATCCATATCGGAAAGCAACCTCATAAATGTACTACTTGTGGAAAATCCTTTACAAACAAGAGCAATATGAAGAAACATACATTGTTGGTTCATACAGGAGAGCAACCTCATCATAAATGTACTATATGTGGAAAATCATTTACAAGTAAAAGATATATGAAGAAACATATTTCACTTCATACCGGAAAGCAACCTTATAAATGTACCATATGTGGAAAACCCTTCTTAAACAAAAACCGAATGGAGGAACATAAGTTGGTCCATAGCCCTACTGGAGGGAGGAGACCTCGCTCTTATGACTGTGCTACATGTGAAAAATCTTTCAAATGCAAAAGATCTATGGAGCTACATATATTAGTTCATACCGGAGAGTGACTTCATAAATGTACTACATGTGGAAAATCCTTCACATGCAAACAAACCATGCAGGAACATATGTTAGTACATACCAAATAGCGACCTCATAAATGTACTACATGTGGAAAATCCTTCAAAAGTAAAACCACGTAAAGGCACATCAATCAGTTCATATGCAATAACACTACATGTGGACTATTCTTCAAAAGTAAAAACCATGTAAGAGCACATCAAGCAGTTCATATCGTAGAGCGAACTTATAAATGTACTACATGTGGAAAATCCTTCACAACCAAAAATGGTACGCAGCAACCAGCAACATATATTATTAGTTCATATAAGAGAATAACTTTATAAATGTAGCCAACCACATGTGCAAAATCTGTTGTATACAAACACATGTGCAAAATCTGTTGTATACAAATCCCAAATGAAGCAACACACAAGTTCATACCAGAGATCAACCCCATTATGTGCCACATGTGGAAAATCCTTCGCATACAAATGCCTAATGAAGCAACATATATTACTAGGAAAAATCTGCGTGGCTCAGCGAGCCGCATACTAAGAAGCACAACGTTGAGGAAAACTCGCTGCTTGATGTTAGTTGCAGTAAGATTATTAGAGTTGTTTGACATTTTTGATAGAAATGGAGCTTAAATATCTCTAATTGCGTCTTGAAGGTTCGCTTACATTTCTGTTCTCAGTTATGAATGATAACTTCTAATGAATTATAAAATGAACTGTAGGCCTACCGTTTTAAGAAAAAGTAGCAATAACATAAAAAATGTAATTCAAGTAAATTTGCAAGTCAATTATTTGATTGTAAAATATTTAGATCAGATTCCAAATTTAAATTTGACAAGAAAATATCCGTTTTTATTTCAATTCAGCTTGTACAGGATTTGCAAAAACATGTAGGGTAGGTGAAATCTGATTGGTCAGAATGTTCTCGTTCTGTGGTAGATTCTTAAGGATATTAATTATAAAATGGTAATACAAAATACTCTCATTTTATCATAGCTTGCAGTTGTTAGCGTGCAATAGCGCAGATGACAACTCTTCTATTTATGCATGACTCACCACAAGAATTACATTCCAACATCTTATCCTTAACAGACAAAGCACTGCAGTACTGCCTTCAAAATGACCTGACCATTATTCCATAAAGAAACAACCCAGTTAAATTTCAGCCAAAAACATGAAGAAATCCAAGAAATTCCTGAAATAACTGTTTTAAAAATCTCAAAACTGCTGGGCCTGACAATTGATGAAGACCTCTCCTGGAACGACCACATATATACAACCTGACCAAAAAACTTGCATCTGGGGTCTATGTAATAAAGAGGATGAAATGGATAGGATGTCTGGAAACGGCTAAGACAGCATAATATGCTGTAATAGAATCACGTATAAAGTATGGTTTCATATCTTGGGGAGGAACATCAGAAGCAATAAACCTCAGCAAAGTCATGGTACTCCAGAAAAAAGCCGTCAGGGCACTCTCTGGCCTTGAATCCTTAGAGACAGCTGCAGGGAAGCATTTAAATCCCTTAAGTAACAGTGAAATCACTCTAAATCCATGGAGTTGTCCTGTACACAAAAAAACTGAACCTTCCCAGAAATGAGAATTTTCACTCCCACCATACCAGAAGAGCAGCCGACTACAGCCTTCTGATCCACAACACTACACAATACATCAGAAAACCCTCTTATATTGGCCGCAAAATCATCAACACTCTTCCAAACAACCTCAAGAACGCAACAGGAAATCAACTCTAAACAACAACTCAGGGACTGGCTTGTGGACCGACCGGTGTACTCCCTTAAGGAATTTTTTGACCAATTATGAACTTTCAACACAAAGAAAATGTAAACTGTTAAACAATCTAAATGTTAAACATTCTGAACGTTTGTGACACCATTGTATTTCTTGAGGAAATCACAAATAAAGGAAATTGTCTATTGTCTAGTTCAAAATTATTTTATTGCATTTAGATAATTTCATTATTTGTGTATTGCTACACCGCCATAATATCATAACACTAATTATCATAAAACAGATATCATAACACTAAGCTGGACGCAGTAATCTATTGTTTCTAAAATCAATTAAACATCTGTTACTATGTTTACTTAATAGGAAGTGTGAAATTGTAAAGGCAACGGACTGTGCAACTGATTAAAAGAACTGCTTTGTATATTAGGTTGTTCCTGTTCGTTGATATTTTTGTAGAGTAGAATCAGATGCAATGACACATAATATGTGTCATTGCATCTTTGATCCTAAGTATGCAGTATTCTGATTTAATAGTAAATACTGTATGGTATTACATTTTTAGTCCTTGATGTTTTGATAATTGTATTAGGTTTGCCTGCCGTCTTTAATGCTTAATTAATAATTTACAATTTGTTATAGTATAGATATCCATTCTTTAATATTTTAAAAGACTATTGATAAGGCACAACAATATTTCTTAAGTTTGTAACAGCTGATGTTTCTATTTCGTGTCCTCTTCCTGTTGCAAAGCACAGGTACAACAGGTAGTTTTTAATAAATATGAATTTTGAAGAAAGAAGTTATTTTACCTGAGTTTAATATAGTAAAATATGGTAAATAAAAGATCTTTAATATACTGCAACTAGCTGGCCCGACAGACGTCGTCCTGTCCTAATGTGGTTTTATGTCAAATGCTCGTTCATTTTCAAGATGAGCTCTTTCGCATGGCTCAATCACGTCCTGGTTAAAGTTCGTTTGCTACGCTCACTCACCTTTAGGTTGGAGCTCATTCGTTGCGCTCACTTGCCTTCAGGTTAGCTCGTTCGCTACTCTAACTCGCCTCCAGATTGAAGTTCGTTCGCTACGCTCACTCACCTTTTGGTTGCAAATTAGCTGTTCTCATAAATTAAAAAAAATAATAATAGTGCTGCACCCTGTTGGTAAGTAAGCCTATTAACTTTTTAATGCTATTGAACATCACAGAATCAAATTGTTTAGTTGAACCAGCTGTTAAGATTCTTTAATTCCATTTAAATATGAGTACCCATAAGGTTAACATGGGAAACTCCAGAGCCACTGGGGAGGAGCCCGAAAGGATTTTTGAGATAAATATCCTAAATAAATACTGGGAATGTGAGCTATCACCAATCGTGGGAGACGATATAATGATGTCTTGACTGCAGCAAGGGATGATCAGAATTTTACCACGATCTTGCATGACGATGGGGGGTTAAAATACCCACACAACCGCGGGAAAAGATCAGAATTTAGCCTTATTTTATTTATTTGTTTATTTATTTATTTCTTTCATGCAACAAAAACATAATAAACAAAATACATTTTATACAAAGCTACAAAAGTCTCAGTAGTCTTGTTCGCAGCTATAGATAGAGTCCAGTTCAAAAGTCCATTCACAAAAATGGTCAGTTTCTTATCTGGTACAAGCTATTCTCCCAATCTGTTGTATTAAATAGATAAGTTTTCACATTTCATTACCATTTCTTTCATTGTCTTAACAATAATAGGAAAACTAATATAACAACAATCTTTAATACAAGTAAATAAATATTTAGAAAAAAACAATCATTTGCGGTAGACGATGATAATCTCCTCACGACTGTGAGATATTTTCATATTAATAATAACTAGGTAGCGTTCGCAGAGGCATCCACAAAATTGAGCGGAGTCGTCAAGGGTTCATATTATATCGTTTTTGTCATACTGCAGTAAAAACATTCGTTTTTAATGCAAGCGTTGCGGGTGTAAAGTAGCATTTTTACTCTTTAGGGAGTAAAAATAGTTTTTAGCCTCTGTCGAGTAAAAATCAGCTGTTGTCAACTCAGTTGTAAATTTTGATTGTAAACGATTGCATGTATCGAAAATATGTATAGATTAGAGCTTCGTAATCAATAACCTACAGTCTACAGTCTCTTCCCGTAGCATTTTAGCATTGCAGATACATTAATCCATTCCCACACTCAACACTGCTCACCTTTACTACTTCCTTCACCACCCCATACGTCGTGGACCTGTTTCCCTCTCTTCCCATAGCATTTTAGGATTGCAGATACATTAATGTAATTGCCAAAGACAGTTCCCACTTTCTGCACTGCTAGCCTTACTACTTCCTCCACCATTTCCTACGTCATAGACCTGTTTCCTTCCCTTCTCATAGCATTTAAGTATTACAGATACATTTATCTAACTTCCCAAACGGTTCCCCCACTCTGCACTGCCAGCCTTTACTACTTCCTTCACCACTTCCTACGTCGTGGGGCCTGTTTCCTTTCCTTCTCAAAGCATTTTAGGATTGAATATACATTAATCTAACTGCCACAGACGGTTCTCACACTATGCTCATACTTTACCACTTCCTAAGCCACTTCCTACGTCGTGGACCTGTATTCATAACTTTCCATAACAATTTAGTATTTTATATACGTTAATCTAATTGTCCATTGATTGATGGTATGACCAAGTTAAGAGAGATGTGAGTCAGTGTGGAGGGATAGTGGAGATGGCAGCGGACAGAGAAGCGTGGAAGAGGCTGATCTACGAGGCGAAGAATCGACTGCGATTTGTAGCGCCCCAGCAGTAAGTAAGTAAGTAAGTAAGTAATCTAATTGTCACAAACATTCCCCACACTCCGCACTGCTAGCATTTAATACTTCTTTCACCATTTCCTCACCATTTCCTATGTCATGGGCATGCTTCCATCCCTTCTAATAGCATTTCAGCATTGCAGACACATTAATCTAAATGCTACAAACGGTTTCCAGTTCCCATACTCGATCCACACTGCTCACCTTACTACTTCCCTCACCTCTTCCTACGTCGCGGACCTGTTTTCCTCCCTTCCCATAGCATTTTAGGATTGCAGATACCTTAATCTAATCGTCATAAAAAGTTCCCACACTCCGGATTGCTCGCCTTTACTCCTTCACCACTTCCTACGTCACGAAACTGTTTCCCTCCCTTTCCATAGCATTTTAGGATTGCAAATACCTTAATCTATTGGTCATAAACAGATCCCACACTCCGATCAACTCGCCTTTACTACTTTCTTCACCTCTTCCTACGTCGCGGACCTGTTTTCCTCCCTTCCCATAGCATTTTAGGATTGCAGATACCTTAATCTAATCGTCATACACAGTTTCCACACTCCGAACAGCTCGCCTTGACTACCTTCACCACTTCCTACGTCACGAAACTGTTTCCCTCCCTTTCCATAGCATTTTAGGATTGCAAATACCTTAATCTATTGGTCATAAACAGATCCCACACTCCGATCAACTCGCCTTTACTACTTTCTTCACCTCTTCCTACGTCGCGGACCTGTTTTCCTCCCTTCCCATAGCATTTTAGGATTGCAGATACCTTAATCTAATCGTCATACACAGTTTCCACACTCCGAACAGCTCGCCTTGACTACCTTCACCACTTCCTACGTCACTGACCTGTTTCCCTCCCCTCCCATAGCATTTTAGGATTGCAGATAGCTTAATCTAATCGTCATAAAAAGTTCCCACACTCCGGACTGCTCGCCTTTACTCCTTCACCACTTCCTACGTCACGAAACTGTTTCCCTCCCTTTCCATAGCATTTTAGGATTGCAAATACCTTAATCTATTGGTCATAAACAGATCCCACACTCCGATCAACTCGCCTTTACTACTTTCTTCACCACTTCCTACGTCACGGACCTGTTTCCCTCCCTTCCCATAGCATTTTAGGATTGCAGATACCTTTATCTAATCGTCATAAAAAGTTCCCACACTCCGGACTGCTCGCCTTTAGCCTACTCCTTCACCACTTCCTACGTCAAGGAACTGTTTCCCTCCCTTTCCATAGCATTTTAGGATTGCAGATACATTAATCTAATCGTCATAAACAGTTTCCACACTCCGGACAGCTCACCCTGACTACTTCCTTCACCACTTCCTACGTCGCGGACCTGTTTTTCTCCCTTCCCATAACATTTTAGGATTGCAGATACCTTAATCTAATGGTCATAAACAGATCCCACACCCCGAACAGCTCGCCTTCACTACTTCCTTCACCACTTCCTACGTCGCGGACCTTTTTCCTTCCCTTCCAATAGCATTTTAGGATTGCAGATACCTTAATCTAATCGTCATAAAAAGTTCCCACACTCCGGACTGCTCGCCTTTAGCCTACTCCTTCACCACTTCCTACGTCAAGGAACTGTTTCCCTCCCTTTCCATAGCATTTTAGGATTGCAGATACCTTAATATAATCGTCATAAACAGTTTCCACACTCCAGACTGCTCACCTTTACTACTTCCTTCACCTCTTCCTACGTCACGGACCTCATGCTATTGTTGTCATTTGATTTTTTCTTATGATACATACCTTTTCTGTTCTAATATCTGTGGAATAATGCTATCCGCTATTCCTTTATCTACTGCATTCAAAAGTCAACAGCTGATCATATGTCTTTGTTTTTGTTTATGTGTCAAATACTGCTTCCATAAGGATTACATTAAAACTTTGAGACCCAGTGGGGCGGATTCCTGAGAGACTTTTTCAACGCCATATAGATGTTGGCACTCACCGATATGGTCTTTATCACTATGCAAAATTTTCAAACGATTGATTCAGCCGTCTAGGAGGAGTTTGCGTATTACGAAATGCCTAAGAGTCGACGTATAAGAGCTTCGCTCGCTCCGCTCAATTAAGTCTGTACAACCACGGGCAATAGTCAGAAATTTGCAGTGATTGCGGGAGACAATGATAATCTCCTCACGACTGTGAGATATTTTCATATTAACAATAATTAAGTCTGTACAACCACGGGCAATAGTCAGAAATTTGCAGTGATTGCGGGAGACGATTCAAGGGCTGTCCTGATGGCCTTTTTTTGTTGTTTAAAGATATATTTGCTAGAAGGTGAATTTGCCCAGCACAACAAACCTAAAGTTTGTAATCTTACATCTATTTTTCATGTTAATGAATATACTCTTACTCTACCAACCACACCTTAAAGAAGATCTCTTAAAATGATTATTACCTGTTCACGGATAGGAAGAGCCAAAGTGTTCTTGGAAGTCAAAACATATGTTAGAATACCTTGGTAACCGACTGATAGGAAAAAATTGATGCCGAAGATGAGCCCAAACCCGTCATACTTGATTTGCAATGCTATCTGTGAACTAATTATATATTCGATCAGTTTTTAGTTGTATTTTAAATAGACGCTTGTTTGTATGCCTATTATTGCAGCCTTTTTTGCAAATTTTTTGTACAATAATTGGAGTACAGAAACTTGCCAGTTTTTGGTCTTTCAATTATAGACTATGATGTGTATTTTAGATTCCATGGTGGTAAAATTAAACTAATCAATTGTGATTTCAACAGTCAAATAATTGTGATGTTACTGTAAAGAATGAATTCAAGCCTTAAATGTAGTTTTTTCTATTTCTATAAAAACTACATTGAGTAAATTTAATTAGGTTTGTAAATTTCATTAATACAATCAAATTATATAAATTACATTAAGTTTTAAATTCAACTCAATACTAATCCTTTTCAAAATTATTTTTGCACAGATAACAGAGAACACCAGTAAATCACTATTTGAATTGTATGCATCAAACTCAGCAGTAGTATTTACTCCTCTCGTCTCGATACAAGTTCACTTGGTAAAGAAACTGATGAGACAACAGGTCAACTTATTAAAAACATTGTTTCTGGACTCAGTTACTATTTCACAATGTATACTATCTTTGACTAATGATACTATCTAATTTTTTACCTTAGTACAATGATAACTAGTAAAAAAAAAGTTACTATGATGTTTTAGCCGTTTTACAAACGTTAATTGGAGGCTGAAAGGTACGCATTGCTGTCTATGCTAGTTGTCATCATCATTTGGGAACCGAGCAGATTTTTACATCCCTAGGGCAGAAAATCAGCTGTTCGCTTATTTACTTAAAACATTAATGTACCTCTATATTGAATACACAAGCAGTATCATCAATATTATGCATTGCAATACATTGTTTTATTGTCACCGCTGCCTGACTGATACTGACACTTTGGTGATGACAGATTTGCCTGCCATGCCACCTCGTACAGTAGCTGTAGTTTTAACTTAAAATAGGTAAAATAGTGAATGTGAAAAATAAATAAATATCGGAGTGAAATATACTAATATTTACGCTATTAACAAAATTATTGAAGTAAAATATCGATATTACCAATATATCGGAGTAAAATATCTCTACCAAAAATTTATCGGAAGAAAACTATCGATGGAAAAAATCGACAATTGGCTTACAAACATCGATATTTTCGATATATCGACTATCGATGCCCAACACTAATGCAGACTTTTAACCAAGCTAAACTGAACAGACAACTTATTAAAATCAATTAGTATCCTGTATGATTTCACTATAAACTGTAGACTCCCTTAGTTGCCATTAGCTGTATGGGCAATTAATTAACAGCTGTGTCTCAGGAATGTCGGCCACGGCCTTAGTCACTAACAAGACTACAAGATCACGCCACTCCTCCATTCATACTTGGCTTAAAATACCTACTTTTTATGGTCGCCATTTCATTGAAAGTATTAAAGTTATCCAAACTATTACAGTGACAAAAACTAAAGCCGGTTTTTACTAGATGCGAAAGAGGAGTGCAGAGAGCGGGAAAGCGGTTAACATGGTGTTCCGCTCCGCTTCTAGGAAAACATTAACATTAAATTATCTAAGACAAAAGGAGTCCGCACTGCTCCTAGGAAAACCCGGCTTTAGGCAGAAAATAACATTTTAGACTGTGGCACAGTGTGTGAATGGTTCATCCACTATGTTTAAAATAATTTGCTACTGCTGGGACATATAGGAGGAATGTCTTCTTCAGAATCAAAAAGTTGTATGAGGAGGCGGATCTAAGCTGTCAACCCAAGCTGTTTGTGCACTCAAAAGTTAATGGTACATACTTGCAGATGACTGTCAATAAGTCACAAAGCACAGATGTAATGATGTAAAGTCCGTAAGAAATTATGATGGACGAGGACTGTGCTGAAGCATAGAGAGCCATTGCTTGTACCAGGGTACAAACTGCAATGACAATATCCCCGTGGTCCTGCCAATCTATCTTCAGCTTGCCCACCATGAAGCATATTACGGTGCCTGTGACACATACAAAATGTTGTATAATAAACATATCAACCATAAACCAAAGTTTGATTTAGCTTTTTGATGGTTCGAAACTGGACCCAGCTGTTCCTGATCATTGGGCTTTAAATAAATGATCCTGACTAATGAAACCGCTGATCTTAGTCAGTAACAAAGCTACACAGGTCATCACACACCATTCTACACTCATCCTTCACTCATATTTGGGTTAAAATACGCACCTAGGTGGCGTCCCCATCTCAATAATTGATTGATTGATAATTATCAATTATAAGTAATTATTGATAATTAAACACCGCGTTTTTAAACTAACTAAAAAGTAGAGAGAGAGAAAATACTGTTAAGATTTAAGACAAAAAACGTGGGGCGCATGCAATGGCTAATTTACAATTATTATCTTCACTTATTGCATGCGCCCCCATTATTTGTTTTAAATCTTTATCATATTTATAATATAGATTTTTGTCTACTTTTTAGTTTGGTAAAAAACGTGGTATTTTAAAAAGCTTTTTTAATTTATAAATTATTTTTTTACTTTTTAGTCTTTAATGTGTAAATACAGTATATGAAATCTATTTTATATAGCCTGTTAATACATAACCAAACCCATTTTAACTGTAATCAGATGTTGCTACTATTCTCATAATCCTAAAACTTTTGAATCTCTCGGGTGCAGAACATGTACCTCTTAACCTCTGCTCTTTGAACAAACTGTAAAATTAAAGTATTTACTGTTGACTTCAATTGATATATTTACATTCTTCTAAAAAGTAAACATTGAAATTTGGAGGCCCATAGCCCATGGGGCTATGAAAATAAGTTTCAAGTCTTTAGCTCATCGGAAAGTTAGTTTAAAATCAGTTGCAAAATTTGTACCGAACAGACAAGAATGCTAGCTAATAAAATTGTTTTAAAACACTAATTACACAGTGGTCTGCTAGCTTAGCTTACTTTAGAGCACTGTATCAGAGCTTGAATTTGCAGATAAATATGAGTCAAAGTTATTTTCGAGTATTAGTTTATATTAATACAAAATTTATTGCCTTATCATTTTCATTGCCTGTGCCCGTACAGATTTCTGACGAAAATCTATTCTTGGTTCCATGTACCTTCTGTAGAGTTCTGTAGAGCATAGCTAATTAATGATCATTGCTTAAAAATAAGTTGCAATCCTTGATTAAGACTGTTTTTCCTATTTGATTATGTTTTACTCGCAACATTAAGAAAACCATCATAAATGTTGCCTGATAGCATCAAACAGTAACGGATGCCGTCACAGTCACAAGAGATGAATACATCAAGTTATCTCTGTTCAGTATTGAGGCACCCATTATAAATTACTGAGCCAAACCAAACTTTGAATAGGTTCGAGTGTCGTTACTCACTGCAGCAGGCATAGATGGCTTCTACTCCGGCGTTGTTGGTGTTCTGATTGGATCCAGTGATATCGTTCCAAAGAGCTTGCACATAGTAATCACACACCTGTCATAGCAATGATTCTTAGGTATGAATAGTGTCAAAGGTAGGATGTAGTACTTCACAGGCGTAACAATGGGAAAAATAAAACATTGCATTCATATGCACAGTCTCTCAAATGTTTATGTACTGATTTTTAACAAAGCATCATTAGAGTTGTTGCAAATTACAAAATCTGATTTGAGTAAAGATTGGTGCCATCTGTCACAACTTATGTACTAGCATTGACTATAAATACCTGCAGATTAGGTCAATATAGTCAATGGTACTAGGTTTGAAGTCAATTGCCTATAGTTATGGACAATGGACATTATTAAAGATCACATAAAGACAGAAAACCAGGCATTTCAGACCCTTGTTTATATGGTGTTTCTTTTTTTTTTTGACCTGAAGAACAAAAATACACAAAATCTTTCCAGGAATGAGCATCTTGGTTTATTTAAATATAAGTTGCAGATAAACAAATTGTAAACTAGCTGCAAGCTCCGGCTAAAACTGGTATATGCAAAACTCACTTAAGGAGCCACTGGAGTTATCGTTCATTTTACTACACTCAACCTGATTTAATATCCTATCAAATTAACAACAAATCCAAATTCTTATAAAAGCCCCTCCCTAGCAGCCCCTCCTTCAGGGACAAAGTGTCTGTTTAAATATGCAACTCTGATTCCCCAGAATCCATTTATCTATTCAACATCCACCGAGCTCTGGCACGCATAAGTGATCGAGAAGGAACTATACTATAAACATAGACCCTCGATTCACGGGACTGTCTACAGGCCAGAGAGACATTCCATAGACTTCTTGGACATTGATTAAATCTAATGGCTTAGCAAACTGTTCTACATTTAGCAAAATAATTTCCTCAAGGTTGTATATCTTAAAAAGAATGATATTTTTGTTATCAAGAAACACCTAAAGGTATTTATTTTTCTCATATAGACTCACATCTGTCATGGTCTAGCAATCTATGGGGGCATTAGTGAACAAAACCTGAATAAAATACTTAAACTTAAAAAATAGCCTTGCAAATAATGTTAAACCCGCAACTTTAAGAATCCACTTTTCACAACTAGATTATATGTTTAACCATCTATGACCATTATATTTTATAGTGTATTCTGCCAAAAATCAACTTCATAAATTTGTGTTTACCAATTATTTAATACACACATAATGCAAGAATACAGGGGAGATGAAGTTTATAAGAGGGATAAAAGGTAAAACAAGATTAGACAGAATGAGAAATGAGAAGCTGAGAAGAGGAACAGTTGAAGAAAGTTTGAGAAAACGAGTAGAGAAGACAAGATTGAGATAGTTCAGCCACGTAAGAAGAATGGAGAATGAAAGAATCCCGAAAAGAATGAGTGAACGTCAAATGGATGGAAGAAGGCCAAGAGGAAGGCCCAGAAGAAGGTAGTTCGAGGAGGTGAAACGTGATGTCGAAGCAAGAGGAGTGCAATGGCAGTATGTGGAGGAAGTGGAATTGTGGAAGGACAAAAGAAGATGGAGAGGCCTAGTGAACACCCAGACCCAAGGATAATCGGACCGGGAGAGGATATGAATGTATGTATGTAATGCAAGAATAAATTACAATGGTGGTTGGGGCTCATCAAGAAGTTAGTGTAAAATCAATTGCAAAATTTGTACCGGACAAGAAAGTGAGCTAATAAAAACGAGCCCATAGGGTGTAGCCCAAGGGAAATGTGAAAGTAAAATGATTTAATATTGCATGGTCATCCATTTGTGAGCTATGTTTCATGTTTCAAGCCTCTAGCTTATCAGGAAGTTGGTTTAATATTGATTGCAAAATTTTTACCGAACAAGAAAGCGAGCTAATAAAAACATTGTAAAAAGAGATCAAATAGAAATACCCCAGCATAATGTCGCTCTTTTCCTCAAAGCAACACAAATCATCAAATGGAAATCCTATACCCTAACACAAGCTCGTGTATGGGCAAACTGTTTCTTTAGTCAGTCCGAGGACTTTCAAAACTTTTGTTTAATGTGTCACAAGAAATCGATTGTAGTTGGTTACAAGGCTGGGAAAAATCCAGTTTCTGTCCTACAGCCCTTGAAAGTGCCCTTGTTATTGTCAATACGTTTTTGAAGTTAACAAAAACAGCTGATACAGGTTATTTGCATTGTCATAATTTGATTTGATAACCGTATTGGTTAGATTGGACTAAACGTTCTAAAAAATAGTTTGTTATATTTGATTTGGTTTATTTGGTTTGGTACGTACGTGTTAAATGTTTTCATAGTTAATTTTCAAGATTAAGAATGAAACGCGAAAGACCTCCCAAGTGAAAAGGTACGAGGGAGAAAATCTACTTTCGATCGTAGGGGAATAAATTTCGCCACTACAACCGAGCCAGTTCCAATCAGCTCATACATCTCGCCAAATGTCGACGCTGAATCGCTGCTTGACGTTTGGAAGAACCAGCGCACTGGAATTTCGAAGTTGAAACGTAAAACACTATGTCAATTGCAATGTATTTATTAAGGTGTATTAAATTTGTTTTCAGTCCCAGTCAAATTACATCTAGCAATAATGATTAAAACAGTACCAACTGGTTGGCTCCGTAAGACATGATCCTGCACACACACCACTTCAGGGTGTTTACGTTGGAGGCTGCAAACTTGAGCTCCTCCCAGAGTAGGCGGGCGGCATGACGATATCTCTGACAGCCTGCCACTACAACAAATTATGTTTGTAATGTAACAGGTCGGTACTCAGAATATCTCTAAAAGTATTAGGTTCAGGATGTAACTTAGAGCACAAGAGGGATTTTAGTTTGGACACACGGTAGAATTTTCTTTTTTTTCTGAGAGAGGGAATCTCTACCTGACACATAGTTGCTTGACATCGTGGTTCCCCTATTTGTGTGGGGTTCGCACCCATTAAACGTAACCCCTCACAATTACTGTCTACTGGGACTAGGATCACCAGTGGGATTACTTCAGCACAGCAGGGTCATAATATTTGTCAGAGGAGTTCTACACTTGTTGTCTCAATCATCCCCTTGGACTATTTCTCAATTTGGTTATCTTGCCTTGATTTAATGTTCTTGTGCCTGATAATCACCCCAACCAGCTCAGGCACCATATTCCACAGACAAACCTCTCCCAACATCCAAAATATTTATTTTGCTAGGGTTCCAAGTTCCAGCATCGTCTTCTCTGTTGGGCTCAATGCTTACACTTAAGAAGAATGTTGACATTTTTTTAACATGGCCCGAGACATAATTACCCCACCTCCACCCTTCCAGCGCCCCTGGACACGGGCTCATTTACTAAAATGACCCTGCTTACAGTGCCTGGTAAAAGAAGGGTTTCACTGTTAAAGAGAACTATAATAGACAGATTTGGTTAAACATATTTGGAATACTGTAAATTTTTTTTTTACCTTTAACACTTTGCGTTTCACCAGGTTTTTTGTCGGTTGGGCAAGCAGTGCCTTCCACTGTAGGCAATGCAAGCGTAGTCAGAAATGAAGTACTGTGGACTAAAAAAATTAAAACAATTAAGAAGTATTAAGGCTGAATAAGTTTTTACATTACAGTGGTGTTGTTATTGTGAATGCATTAAAAAGTCTAGCATAGTATTTTATGTTTATGCTTCCAATCAAATATAACACAATTAGAAATTATGATAAGTAGTATTATAGTCTCTGGACCATCAATAAAATTGTTTAATATTTGCTCATTTGGTAATCAATATTATTGTTGCCACAGTCGTGAAGGATAAAAACAGATGTTGATGTTGCCACAACAGCAGAAATATATCCATCCTATGAGCATGAGAAACAGTTCATAGGCCTATGGTGATTTGGGGGGCGAACTTTAAGTAGTAAGGGGCCCTGCTCTGAATGTTTGCACAGGGTTTAGGCAGGGGCACTACACTCTGTAGGTAAATTACATTTTTTAAAGCCGAATGGGATTTTAAGGATCTGTTTTAAAAGATACAGAGTCCTAGCTTACCTGAGAGACGAGAGGCAAACTATATTGATACGCATTTTATCAATGGAATACTTATTTTCGATATCCCTGAAGAAGTCCTCAAATTCTAAATAATATCAGTCACTATATTATTCTCAGGTAATATTTAACTGAACTATGAAAAAAATATTGTTTCAAGCTGTTACCTGTTATTTGATGAATTACAGTCCAGTTCATTTAGACATGGATACAAAATAGGTTATATATGGTAAACATTTTTGCTTGTGTGCATTATTATTACCTATATTGAGACAGCGGCATGATGCTGTGTATTTTATTATGAGTGTAAAATGGAGCAAGATGGCTTTATTTGCCTTTGCTACTAAGACCAGGCTATTTCTTTAACCTACACCATTCATCATAAGTCCAATGGTCAGGAACAGTCCAGTTTCAAACCATCGATCTACTTACCAACCCAAGATATGAGAATGAGGCTCTGGACAGTGATGAAGTGGGTTGACATGAGAAACTGAGCTAAGAGTGCCGAGATCAAAGTTCCCAGTTTTGGAGTTATCTGCACTACAGCTGTCACTTCCTGATAGTTATGTTTCTTAACTTGAGTGTAGATGTAGGTACTATAAGCTACTTGGGAAGCTTTGTAGAACCCGAGTAACGCCTGAGAAATCTGAAAACAATTCTTAATTTATTACAAAGTGCTTTTGTAGTTTTGGACAAAAGTAAATTTTAGACTGTGCACTATTCAAACTACCCATGGGCTTCACCCCGTTTGACTTCATAAGTATTAACTTTGATTATTATTATATATCTCCACTCATCCTACACTCATCTCCATTCATACTTGGCTTAAAATACCTACATTGTATGGTCGCCATTTCATAAGAAAGCAAGAAAGCATTAAAGTATTTAATAGTCAATGGTATTAATAAAACTATTGATTGGTTAAGTTAGGCTGAAATAAACAAAACCGAATACAGTAATACAAACCATCACGCCTGATTTTAATAAGGTAATAAATTGAAAGAATAACAAACCAATAAGTACAGCTGATTTTTTTGATATTATGTGTTTTTACACAGTGTCGACCCAAAAGGGGGGGTTGGGGTGCAACTAAAAATTTTTCAATGTAAACCCCCATCAAGTGACACCTCATTTTGAAGGGTTTACAAAAACTTTAAGATTGGTGAAAACCAGAGTTTGATATCTCTTCTCTATCCAAAATGGTAGCCAATATTACCATTATGAACCAATTTTACCATTGATTTTCCACAACATTTGACGGGCTACCATTTTGGATAGAGAAGAGATAGCGACCTCTAGTTTTCACCATTCTTTGAGTTTTTGTCAACACTTCAAAATGAGGTGTCACTTGAAGGGGGTTTACATTTAAAATATTTGAGTTGCCCCCCTTTTGGGGGGACACTCAAATTTCAAAATCGTTAAATGAAACTTCCTGCTAAGATTGCACGACCACCAAAAGGATATCTCTGTATATTTACTCGGAAAAATATTAGGGGGGGGGGTCTTGACTTTTTATTCACCCTGTATGGAAAGTTCTCTTTAGAAAGTAATTACAACCTTAAAGAGCAATTTATGAGGGAATTAAGGATAGTTTTGCTCAAGGTTTCTCATCATGACGAACATTTTAAGTATATGGTTTATGGGGGTGTGACTTGTAGTTTTCTCAAAAGTTCATGGGTACTTTGGGATTTATATATGGATTGATTTTTTTTTAGGAACCTACTTGTGAAATTATACAAACTTCAAATTCTGACCTTCATGTGTTCAATGTGTCTGTTTGATTACAAACAATTTTGTGATCATTCATTTACACTGTTAGTGTACATTTGAGTGTTAGGGACGCAAGCGACTACTAATACTCTGAATCTATGTGTTATACACTCGCTTCGCTTTAATTTTACTTTCCGTATTCAAACTCAAAATCATTCTTATGGTCGTACACTATGGAACCTTGTTGATTGAACACATTAGGTACCTGAATTTGTGTAACGGTAGTTCCAAAATAGAGGACTGGACTATATACAGCAGCTGCCAAAGCTCCTACAACGATTATGGTCTTGTACTGTAGTATGTCTGTGACCAGAAGTGCAACAAAGGCAAAGATAAGATTGGAGTAAGCCGAAACTCCGTATATGTCTTGAGTTACCTAGAATAAAACAAAGCAAAATGGTTATACCGGTACATGTGTTAAGTATTATAGCAGATATTCTCCATCTTTAATTGGTAAAGCAGTATATTCATGATTTTTTCGGGTTCGCAACATAAAGACCTTTTTTATATGCATATCAACCTATGCTTACATTTAAGATTTTCTTCTGACTCCTATAGTGGGCCGTCCCCCTGAGGAAGTAGCGGATCACTAAATATGTGATAAAAAATAGATTTTATGTCCAGAGTTTTGTATCTCAATATTAAATATTTCAAAAAATATTTAACCATCCCAGGGTTTTTTTGGGCACCCTATATATCTATAGCCTACTTTTAAAAGTCAAATACCTCTCACTAATCACTGTATCTCAAAAAGTATTAACTATAAGAACTCAGGAATTGGCTTGGTTATTCTTAGGCTCTAGGTGTGCAATAAGAAGAGTTTTCAAGAATTTCCATCAGGGCTCTGCCCCAGAGGCCTCTAAAGTTTCCATGTTATCTTTATGGAAAAAAGATTTGTTTACATTTTAACAGATGAATATTTTAGAATTTTATTCTATTTTAAAGGAACAGCTGGTTGTATTTATTTGATTGAAAAGTAGATATTTGCATTATTTTTTGGCTTGAAAATTGTTGTTATACTACATAACACTTTTGGTAAAACCGCTCGACAGATTGTAATGAACCTTTCAGGCATTATTAAGCATTATTCAAGGATGGTTTGTGTGAAGTTTGGTGCAGATCCGTCGAAAGGGCTCCGCCTCCGCCCCAGTGGCTCTAGAGTTCCCCATGTTAACCTTATGAGTACTCATATTTAAATGGAATTAAAGAATCTTAACAGCTGGTTCAACTAAACAATTTGATTCTGTGATGCTTAATAGCATTAAAAAGTTAAAAGGTTTACCAACAGGGTGCAGCACCATTATTTTTTTTTAATTTATGACAACAGCTAATTTGCAACCAAAAGGTGAGTGAGCGAAGCGAACAAACTTAAATCTGGAGGCGAGTTAGCGTAGCGAACGAGCTAACCTAAAGGCAAGTGCGAGCACAACGAACAAGCTCGAACCTAAAGGTGAGTGAGCGTAGCAAACGAACTTCAACCAGGACGTGATTGTGTCACGCGAACGAGCTCATCTTGAAAATGAACGAGCATTTGACGTAAAACCACATTAGGACAGAACGACGTCTGTCAGGCCAGCTAGTCGTCAAGTAGATTTAAAAATCAAGATATGTTAACTATTTCGTTGAGGTTGAAGTTTTTAAGATCTGCTCGGTCAATGTTCTGTGTGTTGTACAATAAGTTTATTAATCGTGGCTAGGTATGTTGTTTTTATATGTTTTTAAATGCATTATTTTTATTCACATACAATCATCGGCACCCAGGGGGTGGGACATGGCCAACCACTTAGAATAACTAAACTTTAACTTCACTGTCCTCCTTTATCCCAATCCGATTCATATTGCAATCATCGCCCAATCCAATGTGTATGTCTAAACCAAGGATTATGAACACCTCACTATGTCCCAGTGGTTGAAGTATATCGCTACAAACACACAGGTCACCAATTATTTGCCACACAGGACGGGAATCGAACCCGAGCAAACGAATGCCACTGCGCCAAGTGACACACGCCCTAGCCTTCTCGGCTATCTGTGCTTGGAGACTGAGGAGTCAAAAACCAGTATTTAAGCTGAAACCAACAATTGCGAACAGATAGCGCTACAGCAGGTTGTTCAATACGTAACAAGGTAGCAGCACTAGTTAGTCACGGACTATTAAGATGATATTTTTCAGTTGAACCACAACAGAGATCATAAATCATGTTACTCGGAGGCTTTGCTGCAAAAAGTATTCTTCCTAAAATGGCTATATTATTATAACCTTATCAAACTAAATCAAGGTTAAATTCAATGTTACATTGTAAACTAGATGTCTTTTTCGATTTTATGAGATTTTGCTTTCAAACAATGCTATCAGAACATTACAATTTAAAAGAAAACTTGGAAATTTACAACAAAAACAAAGTTTTATTTAATGTTAACTACAAATACCCGGACTTTTCTTTGTTATATATATTTGTTATTGTCTTATATTATTCAAAATTAGCCTAATTAATAAAATAGTGACAACAATACAGTTAAAATTCAACAAAAGGTAATGGAATTAAAAGGCAAACAAAAAAGTCTTAAGAAAAAGAATTATTGGCCTAGCACTGAAAGGGTTAATGGTTTTGCCTTGGGAACGAGTTTTGAAACCATCTAAAATGTGCAGTTTGAACCACGGCCCCTTGTAAAATACACTTCCTTCAATTTTGTTTTATTTAATTTTTTTTTACAGAGTTATTATTACTGCAGTAATCAATAAATGTCTATTGCCAGTGTTTAAACAATTCGTTATAAACTATACGTGTCTGTTTTATATTGTTTAACTGCCAAAAAAACAAAAACCACAAGCGAGCATGAATGGTCCCCTGTTTCTAAAAACCCTCTTGGCCTCTTGGTCTCCTAATACAGTGTACCACAATTCTGTCTGGCCCCTTATACCATAACTCTCCTGGTACTGACCCCCTGGTAATATACCCCTGATCCTCTGGTACCCCTCCTATGTGTCACTGGATAACCCCTCCTGGTCCAGTGGTACAATAACTCGCCCCCTGGACTGTGTAAAATTACACTATATACGCTCAGATAGCAATAAATAATACGTTGATTTACTCAACGTTAGTGTGTGTAGATTTTGAATGAGTTTGAAAAAATATAGTGTTATTTCTACAAATCTAGTTGTTTGCTTACCTCAGCTACTGTTAAATTCTTCGGAGGGCTGAAAACTATTTCGGAAAAGTAATTTTTGTCAGGATTAAAGTTTTTCATGAATCCATAAATTGCAATTATTACAAACCCTAATTGGCAAAGCATGTTTGTTTCTAATTATAATCCTTTCCATGTAAAATATACTGTAGAAATGAGCCTGAAATCCCAACAAATCATAACTTATAAAAACAAATTAGTCGGTCGAGTAATGCTAAAGCACAGGGGCAATAATTAGGACAGTGCTGAGCAGTAGTTACAATAATTGTTGCTACAAATGTATCAATTACAATGTTAAATCACTCACATCAGTGAGTAAAAACAATTAATTATCCAAATAAACCCACTCATAAACCCTTTTTATATACCGAGTTTACTGGATTTTCATCACAATTATTTAAGTTTACACAAATATATATGAGTATCGTCCAACAAGTCAATATACTCGGTTTGTAGGACAAACAAAACAAAGAATACTTTGGTTAAAGTATTTATGCTCGTATAAACAGCATTGTAGACTGCATTTGTGACAGACCAAAATAGTAGTAGCCTGTTACTTGATAAGTTTAGTTCCTACCCGCATATTCCAACCCGCAAGTGCCCAAATACAGTATCGGTACCAAAGCTTAACACTAAGATTTACTGCATAATTTGATCACAAACTAATTAAATAAAAAAAGTCACTAAAACCACTGACAGCTTTGGGAGTTAAAACAAAAGTGTTTGAAACAATTTATGAGCTATCCATTGAAACCCAAATATAACTTTCAATGCCAATAAATATATTTTTAATTGTCTATTTCCATCCTAATATCAAATTGAAGTTAAAGCTATTGAAGCAAATACTGTCTAAATAACGTTTTGCTAGAAAATTTATTAAACACTAAAACTGAAAGTATATTGACACATATATATTCACTGATAAATCAATATACCCACCACTAAATCTTCTATACTAACACACCAGAGCTCACATTTTAAATAAAGAGCAATTAAAAAACCATCTGTTTCTCTCAATAGAGAGAAGCCTATTATAGTGCCTATTATTACTAAAAGCTGGCAGATCTACCACATTCCCTCTCATTCAAGCCCTGTCTCAATGTAGTAATTTGAAGTAATTCAGAATCAAACCAAAATGTTTAAGTTCTTATAAATTTCATTAAAAAACTATCAAAAAATCAATTATTATTTTAAAACATCATTAAAGCCGTTATGAGATATGTTTCCTAACTCTCCGCCAATTAACTAAAAAAATATAAAGTTTTAGGATTTACTATGATGCAGGATTATTAGTTTTAATTGAATCTCATTCATAATACTTGAGTTTTATGTAATTAAAATAAACACTACAGAAATTTAATTGTACTTCTGTAACAATTCAAAATTATTAAGCAAACAATAATATGTTAAAATATTTTATAAATAATGTGAAAAACAGGTCTATTGCGCAAACAATTCAGAGCAGGGAACCTTACTACCAAAAACGTATTATCCCACTTTATAACTCGAAGAACGGCTGGACCTGTTTTAATGATTTTTGATTTGTTGGATTCATCTTTGTCTCAATTAACATAGGCATATTAAGTTTTGTATTTAACCTTAGGGCTTAGCCCCACCGGCCTGTAAAATTTGTATGCTTATGGAGCTATTGGCAGAATGTAAATAATCAAATATATTCATTGAAGTCTGCTCTAAATACTTTAATTTGACAGTTCAAAGAGAATTTGGCAGGTTACGAGGTACAGGTTCTGCTCCCAGGATTCTAATGTTTTATAATTATGAATGAGATTAGTTTTATTGGTATATTTTCATGGAAACAGAAGGATCATTACAACGTATAAAATGTTTTATAATTATTTTGATATGGTACCGGTAGCTATTTGTTAAAAAATTTGAACTGATTATGTCATGTTTGGATTAAGATATTAAATAGATGGATGTTTTTTTTTAAAAAGAAAAAAAATATTTTTAAACAGTTAAGTGACTGTTTACACTATTTGCTTTTCCATTCAATTTAAAAACTAAATTTCAATTATACTACCATTTTTTTTTTTGTCCAGGTAGCTACTACTTAGGTCAAAATCCGTTTCTTGCCCACAACTCTATTTTTTTCAATTACACTTCTAACTTATTGAAACCTTTTATTGGTAATAAATAATGAAAAATACAATATTTAGAAAAGGTTTTTGATCACACATTTGGAAAACATATTGTTCTTATGTCTAGTATTATGAGAATAAATATTACTGTGAAGATCTTCTATAAGTATATTTATATCTAACACACATCATAAATTCAAGGATTTATTATCGGTACCATTACATAACTATAATAGAGTATAGAAAAATTGGTTGCAATTTAAAACTTTATTGATCTCTGTCTGCCTGAAATATTTTTAGAGTGCTTAGAAATTTGTAGATCTCTGTCCATGTGAAATGTAGAAATCCCAATTTAGGCGAACATTGGAAAAAAAAAAAAATCTTTAATGCAATGATTACAAATTAATAGAAAACTAATTATTATGTAAACTTGGACAAACAAACAGAGCGCATTACCCCAGATGTAGCTAAATATGAAAATGTTGATGACATTTTGTGATTAGAATAATTAAATATGGCTTCCCTTCAACCGTTGATAGTTCATGTGAAAGCTCTATTTCTCATAAAAACTTTCGAAATCAGCATTAAATTGGGCTAAATAAAATCACAAACAAATCAAAACTTTAAAAGTTATATCTCCCAATCGATCTCCCAGTCGTATGGATATGACTATAAGGCAAAAAATTGGTTTTACTGTGGTTTTGGACAAGATTGAATTTTTTCTGTCTATAACTATGATTCTTGATTCTTCAAAATCATTAAATGGAGTGGAAGCTGTTGTATTGAACAATGGCCACGGGTGCTGACCCCCATCTGCATTACTCCAGAGATGGTGGGTGGCATCGATACGATACACTTACTGTCACTGCACTGGGCCCCGCGTATGAATCAAACATTCGGAAAAACTATCGGTAAAAAACATATTCGCAATCCTCTTTAAATTACTGTTAAAACGAGTCCAAACAACAAGTAATTTTTTACTTCAAATACCTAGAATACCCTATGTAGTATATCCACTTATTGTTATTTCATGACCTAAATGCTATGATTCAGGGCCGTATTTAGAATCTATGAGGCCTCCGGCGGCTCTCACCAGAGAGGCCCTTCTGTATTCTGATTCTTCGAAGGTTGGAACTTAAGAGTTTGAAATACACGTGCTATTGCTTCAAAAACTTGATGAATTATTGACCTTTTGTTTCCAACAATCCGATCTGTAAAAGGATCTAGGAGGCTAGCTAATAAATAAGTCTATAATAAAAAAAATATAGGAGTCTTAGGTCAGTGCCAGAAATTTTTCATTTCATTAGGGTTGAGTCAAAAATTTTGACCTTCGGGCATCGGATCAAAATCCGGAATTGGATAGTAACATTTATAAAAATAATTTATGCCACATTCCAAGTGAGGCCCCCTCCAAGGCTGAGACAACCGCCGTGTCCACCGTTAGGGAAATATGGCCCTGATGATTACTATTTTACAAACTAATAAATCAAGCTCCCTCTCCCTGGATGTGGCTAGCAAACTAACATGGCGTCGAAGCAGTTTTCGAGATCTTTGTGCAAGCAGACATACAAACAAACATTGCTTATATAAAAGTATAGTATAAGCTAAGGGACTATGTTTTATCTATGTTATGATAGTCAAAGAATTTTTAATTTAATCCGGCCAAATTTACATTAATAAATCTACACATTAATATCGACAGTTACAAAAATATCTTCCAGTACATATTCCTGTTTATAATCAACAAATCAACCATTAGATCTTAAAAGAATGGTATTTTCATCACTGAGATAAATAGATTATATAGCTCAATGATTTTCATACTCCATAGAAGTATTTATTAAGATTTTCATTTTTAGTTGTTGGTAGACTTGGTAGCAACGGCTATGTTGTCACCTGTCAATTGTCATGTAAACAAACAAACCGATCAAACTTCAAACTGGCAAGTGGCAACTAATGGCAACAAACTAGAACTAGACCATAACACCAAGAAGAGATTTTGTAATTTTAACTTAAAGTTTTTATATTTTATAGCGTGCTACCTGCTAATAAATTGTTAAATGTATGACATTAACACAACAACTTATTTCATTCTAGGCTAATTGGTGCAAGAGTAAACAAATTTGAGAGGGTGTTAAGTGGTTAATAATCTTACTATGTTCCAATTATTTATCTTATAGTTTTGTTATACATTTTTTGTGTAAAATGACCAATTTTGATTGGAATAGAATTCTGAATGTGCATCCTTCAGACCTCTCAGAACAAGAGAAAGATGAATTATTTCATGAAGTTGTGTGCTATGATATTGATGAATCAAAAGATCTAGGCAAAGATAGCCTGAAGACATTTTTTAAACTAGCTCAAGAAATTTTGAAGTTTAAAGGAGAACAGGTAGACCCATACCAACATTTTTTTTGCATTTGGTACTAACTAGTTTAAGGTGTCAGACAGAGGCTAGATATTCTAACCGTCTTAGCCAGTGTTTGTAAGGCATTTCCTAGTAAATTAGTCCTATATCTTAGATTCCGCAAAGATATGTCTAATTATGTATAATACGTGTTTTAGTTACACAGTTCTGACTGGATGTGTTCATTATTCAACTCAAAATGATATAGCCTACAGTAGGTAGTCAAAACTGTTCCCAGTCTTTATAGGCCTAATCAATCTGGGCCTACTGCCTTAGAATAATTTTTATTGTGTATGTTAGCCTCCGTATTGCCAAATAATATTAAAAAGGTTTTAGTACCTGCTATCAAGCAATCCATTTAATTGCATAACTGTATGTGTAAGTCTGGACTTACACTCCCCCGGGTTAGCGTCGTCTGTTGTCATAACTGATCAGTTACCGTAAATATTTCGTGTCCGTGTATGTATAGGCTATGTGTCGTATGTAATTTAAATATGTTTTTTGTGTGTTAAACACGACGCTCTTCATGTAAAGAAAGAAGAAGTAATTGTAAGTTAACTGCACATAAGTTAGGTGTCAAAACTAGTTGCGACTGTGCAATTAAATGGATTTGCTTGAGGCTGCACTTTAATATCTGTCCTACACTCATTCGAATGAAAATGTCGATATATAGGTTATTCGATATATCGATTATTTCATTTGGTTAGTTAGGTCAGGTTAACCTAACTAACCAAACTTAATATATCGTATGAAATAATCAATATACCGATCGATTCTGAGATGGTAGGATTCATGACCCTGGTGATTTGACGTGGAATGACTTGTGTTTTTGGCCTCTGGGGACCTGAAAACAAAAAAAGTAAATCGGTTCAGGGCCTAGGTCTTACCGAGAGACCTAGATGGTAATAGCTTATACAGTTACCTGAAACTGTTGCTAGATTCAGTATATTAGGCCTATTAGACATATCACGAAAATAATAACTAGCCTATGGTACTTGATTTTAGACACACCTACATAAAGACTCAAAGATTAGGAATACCGGTAATTAATTTCAGCTTTGTAAAAATTGATGTTAAGGCTTAAAGTTACCTTTTAACGCAACTCATGACGATTGCCTGTAACGGCGAGATTAAAATGAAATAGGCCTAGGTAGATATTTGTATGTGAGTATTTTATCGATCATTTAAAGTCCTCCTAAGTTGTTTTGTTTTAGCGTATTATATTTTTAATAAAACATTATACCTATTTAGGATGAAGATTCTTTGTTTACATCGCTGTTTGCTCCGCTGAGCTAGCAGAACATAGGTAGTGATTTCAATTTGTAATTTCAGTGGGTGCTCTTGTAGCATACCCATAAATGACATAGTTCGCACAGTAGGCCTTACTATTTACTATTTTTAAAGGTCGAATCCTTGATCAGTGAAATAGACAAGTTAGCAGCTCGCCAAGGAGAAGATGAGGTCCGTCATCAATCTTTGCTCAGTGAAATCGAGACGCTCCAAATTCGACTCTTGGCGACTCAGAAATATGACTCGCTGTCTGGTAATATTATTGAAGAATTTTGTTACCTTAATGAATTTAAGAAAACCGCTTATGTTTTACTCATAGTAACATCATCTAAAACCTACATGAACGGTTTATTCATTAGTAAGAATTAATAAATAAATTAGGAAGACTGTTGACTACATTATCTCTAGTTGTATTAATAGTATGCTAGAATTGTTAACACACTCATTAAAAATCTTCTGTACAATGGTTCACTATGTTGTCAATGTTTTGGTCATAGGCTAAGGCTATTACTTAAATATTTAGCAAAGCAAATCTTTATTGAGTAGAATTAATTTTTCAAGCTGAAGAATAGTTAATACACTTAAAACTGTTATATTTGACTGTTTTAGGTGGAAGTGTAGATGAGTTAAAACAGGAACTGTTGAAAGCTGAACTGAAAAATGAACAGTTAATATCTGAACTCCAAACACGAGAAAGGGATTTATTACATGAAAAGCAAGAGGTTGAAAAGGTATTTGTCGTTTGTTGTGTAATTATTTAACAGCGTTGGTGTGTATCTATACCAGGATTAACATAAGGCCTACCATACAGGTTCCGGTTTTCCTTCAGTCCTGGACTGTACGTGAAAAACTGTACGGAAAAACTGAACGTGTGGTGGTGATTCCTTCAGGCAGATCGTGGGCCGGACGGCCCGGCCTCAAGGCCAGCAGACTTGAGGCCGAACTGAACGTGTATGGAGAATCCTGCAGTCCAAGTGTGCTGCAAACTTCAAAACACTTTTCATTTAAAGCTTCGTCGATTTCCGAAATAAGTTCAGAAAAAGGATTTCTTAATCTGTCATGATTTTCAAGATCAGATGCCCTCTTTCCTCTCTCATAGCCGTATTCAAGAAAACATTTTTTGTGGTACGGTACAGCACGTCTGCCGCAAAAATATCATTAACATCTCTGCAAGTACTTAATCTTACAAATACTTCATCTTGCCTTTCTTTGCATAATTCTAATAGCTTTTTAGCTGCGTCTACCTCACTCAATCTAAAAGTGGCAGTTTCACCTTTCTTTTTAGCCTGCTGGCAAAATATACATTTTAAGAAGGTACATTTTGGTTTACCATTTCTAGTGACTAATGTGTTAGAAGTGCATGGTACGTCTTTATCTTTACTGTCAAAACTTTCATCGTTTTTTTTTTACTGTCAATCGTTTTTTGCACCTTTCTAAATTTGTTTTGCTGACATAGGAACAGTAGCAGTTTCTATGCCATTTTAGCAACTCCTTAGTTTCATCCTTTATCAAAGAGTTTACATTATCTTGTCTGCGATTACTTGCTTCCCTTACTTTCTCTAAAGATGATTGCTTAAAATTCTTAATAAACGTACCGTCTTTTTCTTGGCAAAATAGACACGAGCCATAATCAAATGTCTTTTTTTTACATTTAAATCAAACGCCATTTTCATACCCCATAGTAGCAATTAAATAAAAACTGATTATGTTTTCTGTAAGATGTAAATTTCCGTACTTCTGCAAAGGAACTCAAATTACATGAAATATTTGGAGTTAGTTACGTTCATGCAATTATGTAGTTGTAGTCAAACGTATACTTGATTAAAATACTGTATGGACAACAGACCTTGGCATTAATAAATGGAACCTGCCACAAATCACAAGCACAATACACAAATCACAATATTCATTTCTAACTCACTCACTAATAAATGGTTAACACTAAAATAATAAAACATCCAAACACGTCTAATCACAACTTAAGACCATTAAGTGTGTACTTCGGAAACAATAATGAGACAACAATCAATATTATTTCACGTTAAAATACGAACGGCTGGGTCGCGACAGCTGACGCGCGGTACGCGTGCCTCAATACTATTGCTATTAATTTCCAGCGTCTACTAATATTACAGTACTGAAATCAACGCTCTGTTGTTTTTGCACAGATTTCTTTAAACTTGGTGTTGTTGTACTACTTGTTAGTTTTTCTAACCATAAATAGTTTGTAACATGCCCTAAACAAGCGCAATATTTCCAATATTTCTTTTTAAAGTATTTTTAAATTTTATTTTTTTCAATAAATGTTGATTAGCACCTAAAGTATAAGAGATAGAAAAAAGGTTGTAATAATCTTTTTGAAAGACAATATATTAAGGCGTAGATAGACGCTCAAACCACCTTTCTATCATTAACCGTTTCAGAGATAGACGCGGAAACGTAAATCACTGACGCGCGCAACTTCCCCCCCTCCCCCCCGAGTTATGACCACCCTAGAAATGCGACATCATCGATTTTTTTCATCTACTAGATGTCCCCAACAATAATGAAAAGTCAAACTTTGTCAGACTTTCAGTGCATACTCAACCCATTTAGCGCCTGGACTATTAGGCCTGAACCTGCTCAATGTCAAGCATTTTGGTGCTGTAAATATCCTCAAATTGTGTCAAACAGTACTACATTCTTAGGTCCTACTATTAGCCTGTGTTCAGAGGGGGAGGTCTATGACCAGCATTTATTCAATTTTCTTAGGAATTATTTACTCTGCATTTTTCTGCAAACTATTGTCGTTTTTACACTCTTCCTCTTCAAATATTTGACCACTCCTCTGTTGATTTCATTATTCTGAAACATATCATCCTCAATTTTTTTTGGTTCTAGAATGCTAGGTTCCAACGCAGATCGTTTTTACATTACTTCAAGTTAGGTTATCAGTGTTATCACTTTTAAAAATCCATCCGTGATTTAGCAGGGAGCGAGCTGGTCTACTGGTAGAGCTCAGGACTTCGTAGCCTGACGTCCTGGGTTCAAATCCTGCCAATCACCAATGGATTTTATCTATGTGATAATGCGGCAAACCTAGGCCTGAAATAATGTGTAAAACAGTTCCAGACTAGAACCTAGCATCCTAGGACGTAAAGAGGTGAAATAAAAAAATTGGTGACAGTGATCTGGCATGATTCGTACCCAAGACCTCAGGGACTAGAGTCCTGGGCTCTACCACTGAGCCATCTTAGCAGCTTGGTTGCCCTTGAAATTCCAATTCCATCTCATTTTCCTCCACTCCTTTCCCCTACATCAGTATTTTCTCCCCATAAGTAAAAATTGGCCTATAATATGTCTTACAAAAGATATAATAATTGGCTTTCATCGGTACCTCTCTATCCCATAACCTTACTATAAAGTTTAACCATGTTACAGTTTGCTAACCAAGTGATGGTGCTGGAGAAGGAGAGAGGAGAACTCCGTAGTGAGCTTGCGGCTCTACAGAGAGAAACTATTGAGCTTCAGGAGGCTCGGCTACAAACTGACAGTCCGAAAATGTCTTCTGGCAAATATCAGAATCTCGTGGAGACCATCCGACATAAGAACAAACACATTACTCAGCTGCTGAGCGACATTGAAGTGAGTTTGGAAATTACAGTATTACATTAGTGTGATTAGCTTGGAAATTAGTATGATACAACCAAAACTGAAATCAATAATCTCCCTGTAGTTTGGATCAGAGGGGTGGTTTGGACGGTCAGCTGCAATTATTACATACTTTTATTCTTAGCTCCGTAAACAAACAAATTGCCTGTGTTATGTCTAGTAGGCCTATAGACTCTAGCCCACTTCATCTCACATAATGTGTTGTGTTAAAATATATCCTTTCAATGTTTTATTATTGTAGCTCGTTATCATCTAGTGGACGTTTTGTTAGTCCTAGCTAGAAAATCTCCTCTTTATTTGTCCCCTCAGGAGTCAGAGTCAATGCACTGAATTTCTGCCAGAGCAAGATTTGGTCAAAATCTCACCAATATCAATGGGACGTAGGTAATTCATAAGGCATCAACCCAGTGGCTTATAGCCCACCGTAAGGTGTAGATCCATAGATCTAGAGAAGGCTCTAAGGTGAGGAGATCTGTCAGTTTTGTACAGATCATCACAAAGTGTCAATAATTTTACCTCACTCAATATTTTTTCTTTCCAAATACAAACTTCAATAAAATAGTTATTTGTGCAACTAGTGAGAAAAGTGAGCAATTGACTCACTCGAGAGAAATCCCTACTCACGAGCTGTAGGCGAGTGAGGAATGTTTTCTCGAGTGAGGCAATTGTACTTTGAACTCGAGTTGCACATTATACTTTTCCTACAGTTACCATAAAACAAATAAATTGGTGAAGAAACATAACCTATTTTTACACAGAAGTGAACTTTTAATATAACATTTAATGTGAAGTGACAAATACAACAGTACAACAGCTGACCAGCTGATTTACAGCCAGTGCTGCCAATGTATTTCTCGCGCATACGACGTTGCCTGCATGTTACGCGCTCACTATTTCGTACCTTCACGTTGCAAATCTGGAGTGAGACAAAGTAATTAGAGTGAGACAATGTTAACATTGTCTCACTGATGAGCGAATTGGCCACTTTGCTTTCTCAAATCAGTGAGAGAACACGTACATTGTTAGGTAACTGTAGGAAAAGGGTATTTATTTGATAAAGAATCTAGTTTTTACAAGCCCCTTGAGAGTTTTGATAATGAGGTTTTCATAGTCTTTGTAAGTAACTAAGGGTGATTGAATATTAAATGATTAATTATCTATCCACTTAACGTACAGACATTGGAGAAAGAAAATAACCTACTCAAACTGAAGCTTGCTGGTTTACAAAGAGAAGTCGCAGAAAACAGTGAACAGACAACCCTGCTGTCAGAAGGAAACACAAATTTAAAACTAGTGTTGAAAGAATTGCAAGGTAGGGTGGTTAATGGTTTGCTTTTTATTAAATTCTCAAATCACTTATGAATATGATAGTCACTAGTCAGATGTGCTGCCTTTGTATTATAATAAAAAAAACACAATGTTATTCTAAGCCATGCACAATTATAAAAATTTAGCATTGCCATTATGTTAAAGAAAATGCAATGGGTTCTTCTGAAAGAAATTAGATTAAGTGAATGAGCGAAGGGAATTACTCAGAGTTTTTTTATACTGTAATATATAATAATGTCCTGATTTTCTAAATGGATTCATCATACATATAATAGTGTGAATTCTTAAACTAGTTGTTAATGAGGTTAAACATTTACATATGTTTTTCTCCGCTTCGTACCTGTATGTTCAAAGTGGAACTATTTGTTGAAACATAAAGCAGTCTTTTCTTCAAGTTAAAAACTTATATGAGGTATTTATAAATTTAAAATTCCGTCAGGCTTCCTTGGAGCCAAGCAAGGTAGTTTAAGTTCCTCATTTGCTCTGTAATATTTACTTCATCATATAATATTCCATATATGTGACAATTAGTCTCGTCATGGTATCTTTAATCATTGTGAATAAGAATCCACGTTCCTGCCAAGTAGGAATCACATTTTGTGGTCTATGTCTGCTACAGAAGTCCATTGCTGCTGACGAATCTGTATGGAGTAAAGTGTATATTGGTAAACAATTTGTGTTGAAGGTGAAGGGGGTTCGGAATGGTCGTAAACATCACCATGATATTTTCAATATTTTTCTCACTGCAGGCTGGCTGCGGTCACTCTATATGGTCTTGTTTGAGTCAATGTCCAAATATAGGGAAACGTTGAATGCAGATACTGATGAATGAATGAGGCATTGCTGAATAAAATGTCATAAGCTCAGTCAATTTCGCCACAGCTGTATACTCTATCTCATTTTAATATTTATTTTCAACATCTTTTGGTGAATTGTTAAAATGTTTTGTTTTCTGTTATGTCACATCTCAATTTGACTATTCTTTTCTTAGTGTTTTAGTGGCAATATATTTCTCATTCATAGTAGTGATAGGTGTATTTTTTCATCTAGATATATAATTACTGGGTTATTCCAGCTATTAGTTAATGATGCACTCTTACAATAGTTTGACGTTAAATAGTTGTAGATCAGCATTTGGACCCTTTCCCTACAAAAACCATAAAAAGATGAATAATGTTGAAAACACAAATACAATTAAACTGATAGGAAACATTTCTAGGACAAATGTAAACCCTGGTGGTCTTTAACACCCCGATTTGAAAGCAAAGTTTCCGTAACTCTAATCAATGTCTCAATGGAAAATGATGAACACACTCTACCAGCCTAGTTGTGCAAATGTGTAAGGCCTCTTGCGACTTCTCTTAAGCGACAAACACAAATATTTAACGTCCAAACAAGTTTCTGCAGACACAGTTGCACATAGGTGTTGGAAACTATTCAGAATGGTAGTGGATAAAAAAAGAACGCATTGGTCGCATATTTGATCTAGCTCACTTAGGCACGACAGAGCTCAATGGACACCTAACCGTTGGACAGCTCTAACTGTTTTATTTGCTGCCAGAACGATGTGTTACGTTGGAAGATCAGAATGAAGCTCTGAAGACACAGCTGATGGAGATGGCAGATGACAAGCAGAAGAGAGATGATCAGCTGGACCAGCTCGGGATCGCTTTGGATACACGCCTCACTCAGTGGCAGGTAATATGTCCCACACTTAGAACAGACAAAAAACTTGAAACTCCAAATCTGCAACAAACAAATATATGATTCTTGATTACTTCTAACTACTTCTTGATTCCAAAATGTTGATTATTTGAAGTGTCCTCCTCTGATTCTTCACACTCTTTTGTTAATCAGTCTTTCACCGGCTATCTCATCCCCTCCCCTGCCTTTTATCGGGAGCTGTGAAGTAAAGCGTTACAGCAGAATGGAATGAAATGTCCATAGTTCGGCTCTAATACTGACTAAGATCAGCTGTTTCCTTAGCTTGAAACAAAAAGCCAATGGATAGATAATGATCCAATTTAAATAACCTTGTAAAAAGCTCAGGGGCAAAAAGTTTGTAGCGAAAGTAACGCTTAAAATAACGTTTGATATTCCCAGGAAAATCACTACCAAGCATTAATTGATCTCATATAGAATAACTCTACAATGTTTTTTTCAGATTTTACAATTTTTGACTATGCACGAGAAAAATTTATACCGTGAATTTAAATCATATTTTATGAATCAGAATAAAATAATAATAGTATTATATTATACTTGTTTGTTTATAACGTTTTGAATTTACCTCTGTATTAGCATCATTCCAGGAAATAGTAATGTTACGTAATTAACAATTCTTTGTTCTCTCTTAAGCGAGATCCACAACCAAGCCAAATGTTAACCGTATGGGTTTTAACAGATTTTTACCTTTTTACAGGAACTTCTTGTGCAAAAAGATACAGAACTGATTGAATTAAGACAAAAATTAGCGCAGATCACTGCACAATTTCCTAATTCGTACATGGAAACCACAAGAAACCAACTAGCTAATGTTACTGAGGTAAGTCTTTTCTGAACTATTTTTAGCCTATGAAACTTCTTAAAAAAGTTTTTACCAAAATATCAATAACTTTTCTAATACCAAAAGTGGCATATAGGTTGTAATTTTATTTCAAAATATTAACTGAAACTAATAAGGTATATGATTTTAGAGTTTGGAAAATAGAGAAGAACAAATTGAAGAGTTGCGGCAACAAATTTCTATAGCAAATGGAAAAATCTCTGAGAGTCAAGAGGTCATACGAGTGTTAAAAGCTCAACTCAAAGAAAGGTAAAATACCCTCGCCGCAGCAAACCTGCAGACTAAGCAAATTTTCTTTAGCCTGCTGTTTGGATTTCCTCATAAAATATTTCCTAAACCTGAAGCTTTATTCCTTCTATAAATAAAATTAGGTTTAACGAGTACTTAGGTTAGGGTGCTGTAGGTAAGATTATACAAATTGTGTATTTTGTATGAAATACTAATAGCATAGCATGAAATAAATAAATTAACCAAATTTGATCAAAATACACCCACAAATAAGCACACTACAACTTTAAAAAAAAATAAAAATAACATGAAAATTTAAATAAAAATTTTTTTCTCCATTTAACCATTTCATTAAACAATACTTCAATATACAAATAAATCAATCTATACTAAAATATTTGTATTTCAAGCTTGTAAGAAATTGCTGTTTTATTTTTTGAGGTAAAATTTACCCCATAAAACCTTCCATACAACCTTGTTCCTATAGTCTGAACATGCTGGTTTGCAAACTAATTAGAATAAATGTTGGTACCATAATTTAATGTTTTTACTGGAGTTGTAGTGCTAACGGACAAACACACACATAGTATACAGTTTAAATTAGACTGATGGTGTTTTTGCATCTAGGGACTACTCTTCTATACTAAAGAAAAGAGAACAGTCCAATCCCTACGCTATCTAACACCTCTTGGACTCTTGACCTTATGTAAGATAGGCTAGGTGCTGGCTAGGGATTGATCCAGCTACCATACAATTTGGCACTGTAATGATTTGCTATTCAGACAACAATGTTTGACAAACTATAATGTTAGTATTTCTGATACTTGAATACAAAGTATTTACGTCTGTTGGATATTGAAGGACGGACAAACAGGACGAGTCTCCACGCAGAAAGAAGCTCAAGAGTGACCTGGAGGAGGCTAGAGCCAGACTGGAGCTGTTGGAGGCTAGAGTGAAGGATGCTGAGACTGACGCTGATGCTAAGGCAGAGGAGGTGGGGAGGAAATATTTATCTTTAACAGTTTTACAAAGATACAAGAAAAGTGAAGTTTGTATTAGATTGTTGAAGTAAAGTTTGGCTAAAAGTTGTGACAGTAGCTGTTCTTAGTATTAGGATTTATTTGGCCTTAAAGATGTGGGAATTGAATGAGGTTAGTTATGTTATGAAGGACATATGCCACTAGCTTTTGATTTAAGCATTGTTGGGACGGCTGGATTATCTGAATGGGAAGGAGTCCATTCTGGGGCAAGCAGTGCAAAAAATTAGCTCTAAACAAACGCTATTGGAATATTTCAAAACCAATGTCGTGTTTTCAACCGAAGGATATATATATATACTAGCTGTACCCGCGGGCTTTGCCCCGTTTTACTTCATAAGTGAGCTCGTTCGCATGGCTCAATCACGTCCTGGTTGAAGTTCGTTCGCTACGCTAACTCGCCTCCAGGTTGAAGTTCGTTCGCTACGCTCACTCACCTTTTGGTTGCAAATTAGCTGTTGTCATAAATACCAAAAAAATAATAGTACTGCACCCTGTTGGTAATCCTTGTAACTTTAATGCTATTGCACTTCATAGAACAGAACCAACTTGTTTAATTGAAACAGCTGTTAAGATTCATTAATTCCATTTAAATATGAGTACTCATAAGGTTAACATGGATAACTCCAGAGCCACTGGGGCGGAGCCCGAGAGTCCGATCAGAATAAAAACAACTTAGTTTTCCTATTTAATGCCTAAAGAATCAGTGTACCAAATTTCAGCCTCCTAGGTAAATGGGAAGTGGGAGAATTAGTGATGAGTGAGTGAGTCAGTCAGTCAGTCAGTCAGTGAGGGCTTTGCCTTTTATATATATAGATAGTCTATTAGTTTAATATTAATAAATATATTATGAACTTTTGTGTTACTTGCCCCAATATGGACTGTTGACCATTCGGTTAAGCCTGCTATCTAAAAAAATAATCCTAAAAATTTACTTACCCTCTGATTGACAAAGTTGATGTAAATTTCCCTCTCAATCTGTGTTGAATAGCTTAGTTTTATTTTGAAATAACACACCATCGTTCAAAAAGGAAACCCCAAAAAAGGTTAGAACTAGAACCCTTTTAATATATTTTTCACTGTAACATGGCCCCCACAAGGGTGGGGCTGGTGCAACTCTGGTCACAGGGCCCGGGCCCTCTGGGGGCCCGGGCCTACCCATTTTTTTCTTTTTACTTTTTTTTATTTTTTCCCCATTGAAGATCACTTTACAGCAGATCATAAATTGAAGATAAAAAATAATATATATATTTTACAAAAAACAAAGTTAAATAATTTAAAATGTATTAATTCTAGATTCTAAGGTAGTTTATATTTAAATACTATAGGTGCGTATGTACTATACAACAGCAGAACAGCCAGCTCGGGCTCCAGTGGCTCCACAAACTCCCTCTACCCCTTCCTCCCGCCAGGCGCCTAGCCACTCCTACCTCATTCCCCCCATAATAAACAAAGTTTGGTTTTATAATTGAACTGATAGTTTCTAGAATGAATCCTTATAGTTATAAGTTAAAATAAAATTTGTAAAGCATTGAAAAATTGACATGTACTATGTACCATAGCTAAGGTGACCAGACATCCCGTTTTATAGGGACTGGTCCGTCCCGACAAATCCTCTCGGGACGCTTATTTGTCCCGTTTTATCAACATTTGGTCCCGGTTTCACTTTTATGTATGGAATATTTCAATTAATAATTGCAATCTAGGTTATTTGACACAAACTTAAAAATTCTTTACTTTTGGAGTTTTAAAAATATGAAAGATTGTAATAATTTTGACCTAAGTTTTCTTCCCAATTCGCTCGGTATAATACTGTACTAAAGCATGGATTGGATGGATAGCATCGGCATCGACAGCATCGGTAATTCTCGGCATTACTCATGCACATTCGTTTTTCTCCGTGACTACTCGCGCAAGTTCGGCAGCTCAGGCATCCACTCCCAAAAAATGTAGTATTGTTAAAATTCTTGATGAAAATTGTCACTGAATAAAATATGATTTCATTGGTGTAACCTGTTAAACTCGATTTACGTAAGTTTTTTCCTACTCTATATTACAAAGTACAATTATAGCAGTTAAGATAGCCAAACCCTTTTACAGGGAAATAAAAAAGACAAAATATTAATAGGCATGGAGCTTTTGTGTATTGATATAGTTTTAATTGCTGAATTACTATAATTTTAAGTCTTATAAAACTCATTGAAGAACTCTTTTCTTCCTTAAAAAAAGGCTGCAAAAGTGCCATTTACCACTCACAAATTTAATACCTAGATTGCCTTAAAAACTCACTAAAATACATGATATTTTCAACATTTTCCTTAGAGGGGGTATTCCATACCCCCCGACCCCCCGGTTGGTAGGGGGCCCGAGCCAGATCCTAGTAACAGGGCCCACAATTAAATGTGGGGGCCATGCACTGTAAACTTTTTTCATGATTTTGAAATATTTATTACCTTATCTCTAGTTAGATATTTCAATGGTGTTTGAACAACATATTTTAATTTGTGGTGTGATTTATAACTTCAGTCACTGACTACTATAATAACTGAATCTTCAATAAAATATCTATTCTATATATAATTCAGTTTTAAAAATCTTTGTACAACTAAATCTAGAGTTCTACTGGACCGATTTTATTAATTAATGGGTCGTTGGAAAGCTTAGGTTGTGTAGATTTGCAAATAATTATGAAAGTTTGTTTTTATTATGATTTATGGTGAAAAATTTCAAAAAAACATGTTTTCCATAAGAAATACATTGAAAACGGTGTTTTTCACACTTTTTATTTGGGTGCGACTTTTAGCTGCCTTTTTTTAGTGTTTCCAAGAAGTGTATGGTATCAATTTGTAGGAAATTTTATTCTCTTTCAGAATATCACCTTCCACTTTGGTCGATTTCCTCACCATTTAAAAGTTATTTGCAAAAAAGCTAAGCAACCTCCGAATTTATAATAATGAGAAAATATTGAGTTTGGGATATTTTTGTTTAACTTTGTACAACTAAATCTAGACTTCTACCGGACCGATTTTGTTAATTAATGAGTCATTGGAAAGCCTTACTCATGTAGATTTGCAAATAATTATGAAAGTTTGGTTTTATTTAATATTTGTGGTAGAAAAATAAAAATAACAAAAATACATTAAAAACTGTTTTTTCAGGTTTTTATTTTCAAGTTTATATTTGTAGTCAGCTTTTGGCTTCCTTTATTAAATAATTTCAAGAAATACACACAAGGTATTTGTAGGAAATTTTATCTTCTTTCAGAATATCACGTGCATTTTCTACGATTTACTCACCATTTAAAAGTTATTGTCAAATTAGATAAGTGACCTCCAAATTTGTAGTTGTTAAAAATACTGAATTAGGGATATTTTTGTTAAACTTTGTACAACTAAATCTAGACTTCTACTGGACCGATTTTGTTAACTAATGTATCATTTGAAAGCCTAATTTGTGTAGATTTGCAAATAATTATGAAAGTTTGATTTTATTAAATATTTGTGGTGAATAAAGAATAAAAAGCAAAAATACACTAAAAACTGATTTTTTTTATAGTTAATATTTTAAAATTTCAATTTATAGTTAACTTTAGGTTGCCTTTTTTGAATATTTTCAAAAAACGCTTAAGAGTACTTTGTAGCAAATTTTATTCTCTTTCAGAATATCACCTTCCACTTTGGTCGATTTCCTCACCGTTTAAGAGTTATTTGCTAAAAAGCTTAGCAACCTCCTTATTTTTTTGTGGTGAGAGAATATTGAATTGGAGAGATTTTTATTAACTTTCTACAACTAAATCTACAGTTCTACTGGACCGACGGAAATACAGTCTGTAAAACTGGTTTGAAGACATAAAAATTAAAATTATCCCTGGCAAAGAACAAGGAAGATTATTAAAACAATCAGATGAAGTCTTTACAAAGAATGTTGTTTACAAAGAAATACTGTAAATAAAATATTTTTGTAAAATTGTATTTGTTTTTCATTATTTTACTCTTTTAGAAAATCAGTTTATTTTCTAAACAATTTCATTCTTTAAAAAATGTTCAGGTACTTACAAGGGCATATATTATGTACTACTGTACTTTCTAGGGACCGTTGTATTTATTAACTACAACGGGCTCTGTTGCTAGTATTGTATAAAAAAAAAACATTCTTCCAGAAAATATAAAATTAAACAATTTCTAATTAATTTACCTACCACAGTAGCAATCTTGGACTTATATAAACATCATCTATACCAATATACCAGTGGCCTGCATTATGGTCACCAATATGATACCTTTGTGCAACCAACTTTACATCATTGCACAGACCACTATCTATGGTGACAATGATGTTCAGTTGAGATAAAGAAATAAAAATGTAATCACTTATTGTATAAAAAAAAACATTCTTCCAGAAAATATAAAATTAAACAATTTCTAATTAATTTACCTACCACAGTAGCAATCTTGGACTTATATAAACATCATCTATACCAATATACCAGTGGCCTGCATTATGGTCACCAATATGATACCTTTGTGCAACCAACTTTACATCATTGCACAGACCACTATCTATGGTGACAATGATGTTCAGTTGAGATAAAGAAATAAAAATGTAATCACTGATTTCAGATGACAGAAATGGTGATACAGCTGAGAGAATACGAAACAGGAGTGTTTGGTTTACCTGAAGCTATGGAGCAAATAAAAGAGTTACAGAAACAGAAGAAAGTCAGAGACAAACACATAGAACAGCTGATTCAAGCTGGAAATCAGCTGCAAGCAGATGCCAACCTGCTAGAGGAGGAAAACATGGCACTGAGGTACTGTAACTTTTATATCAAGGATTATATTTCTAAAAATTATGATATTTTAATGGGTGAATTTGGACTTTTATAAATGAAGGATTCAGCTAGCTTACCTGAGATAATTAGAGAAGGCTTACGTGAGCTCATAGATTCACAGTAAAATACCACAAAAGAGGTCACCACATTTATAGGCCTTAGATGTATCCTAAGATGAAACTCTACATGTTGTCCATCTGTATGTGCATGAGTCGAAGACACTAATTTTCTCATGAAAACTAACTGAACTCCATCCATTTTCAAAATAATTGCTAATAAATTAATGTGAAAGTAACAAACCTAAGGTGTATTTTAACTCGAATGTAAATAAAAAAACTAGTGAAATGCTTTGTGTAGCTTTGTTACTTGTATCTCTTGAAATATTGACTCGGCCGCAAAGCTAAAAAGGTGGTAGTTTTAGTTATTCAAACAGTTTTTTGTACCTAATTATTTGTTGACAAACAAGTAAATACTTAATTAAATAACAAATGTTTGCAAAATAGAGGTTTACCTCTAGATTTGCTATAAAACTTGGTAAGATAAGGCCAAAAAGTATGCTTAGCAAGTAGAATGACTTGTGTTTTAGAGATCAGCTTGGTTTGGACTCAGACACTGTTATCCGAGTGGACGGTGTATTGGCGAGATACAAAGCTGATCAACTCAGACTCATCCAAGCCACTCAACAACTTGAGGTCTCCAACAACAACCTCCTAACTCTTAAAGTCCAGGTACTTGTGTTGTTTGGTAGTTAAGGTCCGTAGGTACAACCAGCTAAATTGGGCGCTGCAAGTTGGAAAAGTGGAAAGGTAGGATAACACAGAAAATATCAATATTGTCCATGTTTGAGATAGCAGAGAAGTTGACAAACTCAAACTGCATAGTATTACTGTCTTTTGGATGGACTTGCCATAGCCAATTTTTTATTTTTGTTTTCATATCGAACCACAGATTTTTCTGTTTTGATGCCATTATAGCAAATGGAAATGACATAAAAAGAACAGACAAGGTTTGATTTCTAAAAGGTTGAAAACAGTTGTATGATAAAAATACTTGTTGGGTTGTTTCTGAGAAATTTTCATTCCTACCCTTATTGCAGTAATAAAATATACGGTGATTCTAAATTATTTTTACACTTTTGAAACTCTAAAAATGAAAAAAACATACAACCTATCTTCACGGGGTGAGAATCAATCGAGAGAATGGATGCTAAGGTTTTGTTTGATACCACTTTGGTAAACATAGTTGCAAAATTAGCCTTCACAGGCATTTTTAGATTTTAACTACGAGTTTGAATTAATTTACACACTTTCACTTCTCTGAATCTTAAAACTTCAAACTCTATGTTGAATTGTGTTATTAATTCAAAATCTAAGTTTAAAATCTAAACATGTCCATAGAGGCTAATTCTGCAACTATGTTTACCAAATTGGTGTCAAACAAAACTTAAGAATCTCCTCTTACAATTAATTGATCTTTGCATCGTAACGATATGTTGTATATTTTTTTCATTTATTTATAGACTTTCAAAGTGTAACAATAATTTAGAATCACCCTGTATAATTGTGTCAAAGCCAGTCTAGTTTTGTTACAAACCACACAGAAAAAAGAAGAAAAAAATCATCTACTTTTTCATGTACATTTTCGAGTGTGAGTGTGGCTATGCTGTTTTTATTCTTCTTGTTCCTTCTATTATTAATATTTTGCTCCGTTCACAAAATGTATGCCGTTTGAGGGGGAGTGAGTCCATCCCCTCCACCTCACCCTAACTTTAAACAACAGCCAACAGTTGTTCAGCTGATATATATAGATTAAGCTAAAAAAAATGGTTTTGTGATGGGACTATATTTATGTATAAATACAGTTATGATATTCAATGTGGTTAAAAATGCTACATGGTTTGTGTTTTGTCTTATTACTGGTACATATTTTTATTTTCAAGAGTAAAATTATAGTAAGTACTGTAGTATATAAGAAATAGGTAATGTTTTTATTCACTGACAATATTTTGGTTTCAGAATCGGAAGTATAAAAAGATCATTTCAAAATTAAAAGCGCAAGTGAAAAAAGTAGGATTTGAACCTGAAGTGATTACTGGGAGCTCGGAAGAGGATTCTGTTCAGCATCCACCTCCTCAAGTTGTTGTTCAAGGTAAGATTTGGAGGCTTAAGTTATTAATTTATTTATTTATTTCATCAGGTACATCATTTACAAAATAATATATGTTTTAAACACATGAGCAGATATGTGTTATTATGATAAGATAACAATTGCATTGAAAATAACAAAAGATGTTACAAATAATCATTGAACAAAACAGCATTGCAACAAAAAATAACAAGACATCAACACAGCCTATCAACAATAACAGATAATATCATTTGCGGTTACTTTTGCGGTACTTTTGAATAATTACGCTCTACAAACTTACACGTTGGACTTTTTCAAACAGGTATCAGCGAGGAGACTAAAGCCATGCTGATAAAAGAGGCTGAAATCCTAGAAAACAAACTACAGGATGTTATCGATGAAAACGAAGCTCTCCGGAAAGGAATGCACGAAATTTTGGACAGCGTTCGTAGTCATGATGGTATGTAATGTACTGTTCAACTTAGATTCATTATTTTAGTTTATGTGATGTGTAAACTTGTTCATATTGAAACAGCTACTTTGGTAAGGTTTACACTAATGTAGGCTGTAATAGAGAGACGGTTCTCTATGCTTAATAGATAGATAAGTTAACTTACAAAAACGTGGTGTTTATCTTACAGATCATGCAGAATCCAGACGTATAGAGATAATAGGGATTGATTATACAAACATATTTTACCTGAAACATTACTTAAGTTCATAAAGAACATAATGACATTTTCATTAGGCAATTTTCTTGTCTTTGTGCTACAAACACGTTTGTTGAAACTGCAAATACCGGATCTACCTCAAGGATTTTTTTCTGGCCAAAACTCCTGGAGTGATTAGAAAAAATTAAAGAAAGAAAATGGGAAACTTTAATTTGTAAAATGAGTATCCTGTAGGTACGGAATTTGGTAGCTATACCACCAAAATATGCTAATGGTATAGTGTTCAGAGCCTTATGTATTGTAGGCTTAGGTTCAAATCCTGCAAATCACCAATGGGTTTTACTTCTTTTAGCTATTGTCATCCAGAGGGTTGGAGCCTAACTTACGCTGTTATAAGTAAAGAGAAAGGTCCTTTAAGCAAGGAGAGAGCTTTTGTTGTAACGGATATCCCTATACAAAAGACTTGATTTATTTATTTGTTGGCTATGTTTGCCAGGCACCAGCGCTGTTCACATAGAGTCTGCATGTCTAGAGCGTCTGCTAGAAGCACTGGACAGTCGTCACCTCAGTGGCTGGTATCACCCTGCCATGAGACTGCAGGCGCAACTCAATGTGACGGAAGGCAACAACGCAGCTCTCAGAGAACAACTTAGAGCAGCACGGTTCGTAAACTGTGGTTGATACGTAAGCTTTCATTTATATGAGAGGATTATAAAGTGATCTCAATTTTCATTGTAATGATTATATTAGCATCAGAATCACACTTGATAATTAAGTTGAAATATTTCTAATCAGTCGTGGTAAAAAAATTGTAAGTTCCACTCCTGATAAAAAAAATTTAAAAGTTCCACTCCTAATAAAAAATTTGTAATGAAACTTGAAAAAATGGTCAGTGAGTTGATAAACTATTTTTATGTTTCATAAAAATCTTGAACAAATGTGTTGACCTAGGCAACATTTAAAATAAGAAAAAAATAATAAATACCTGTACAGTTTACAACTGTTTGGCAAAGCCATATTGTGTAAAATGAGCGTAAGAGATAAAAATACAATACAATGTAAATACATGTCAACATGTCTATTGTGAACTAATGTTATGCATAAATAAACAATGCCTAATGTAGGCCAGAAAATTCCACATTTGTTAATTTGTACTTTCATTTATTTTTATCAGTAAGGTAAGGTTTGTTCCACCTATCTACTGCAAAATTCTTAACTTTGGCCTAAAGCCATCTTTCTAAGTAGTTTAAAAGTCGTATGCATTATTAAAATAAATTTAGGCCTAGTCAATGAAAACATTTATTAAAAGCCTCAAACTTCATCAATTTTCATAAAAGTGATTTTTCATCATCCACAGAAAAGGTGTATGTTTATTTTCAGATAGGTGTTATCTTCCTAACATTATAATGCAATTTTCTATGTAGAGCTTTTTCCTCTCACAACTATATGTAGTAATTCAACTTTTACAGACACAACGAGCATGAGGCGTCTGCCCAGCTTCACAAGGCGTTGGTGCAGGTTGACCTACTGCAGGGCGAGCTACAGAAGATGATCACAGCGGCCCAGTCAGTGGAGAAGGAGAGTGGGCGACGAGACGATCCTGGTACAGCAGTGTCTCTGAAGGCTATGGAGTTCATAGACGCTATCAAGGCTAAGAAACAAAAACCACAATTGGTAAGCAGCGCTGAAAGTAACAAAGTTGAGGATATTAATTCTCATAGTTATTTTTACACATCAAGCTTGGTCGCTAGTAACAAAATTTGGTTTAAAGTAATTGGTAACACGCCCAAATAATAAGACCAAATAATAAGAACAATCCAATTCCCAATGTGTGTCTAATAGTAATTTGAATATATGGATACTGTATAGCGTTGTCCTGTAATCCAGCTACTAGGAGGTCACAAATTGTGGATATTTATAGGCATGCACTATGGACGCGATACTCTCTGGTGTGGATTAACGTCCACACGAGTGAGTACTACGACTATCCGCAGTACTATCCTGATAATTAGACCAATTCGTATATACCAAGGCAAAAATGTGGTTCGGATTCCACTATAAACTGTAGGTCCCTTAGTTGCCATTAGCTGTATGGGCTATTAATTAACAGCTGTATCTAAGGAATATGTCGGCCTTAGTTACTAACAAGACTACAAGATCGCGCCACTCATCCTACACTCATCTCCATTCTACTTGGCTTAAAATACCTACTTTGTATGGTCGCCATTTCATCAAAAAGTATTAAAGTATTAAGTAAAGGACGTTGAAAAGGTTATTTTTATTGTAAGAAAATAACAGTATCTGACCATAAATTATTTCTTGTGAAAAAACTAATGCAAATAAACTACTCTCTGACATCTACCAATTAAATTAAAATTCTCTAAATAAAATTAAAACTCTCCTTGAAAGTGTTACTGATTAACACAAAAATGTCCACAACCATGCTGGTAAAAATAACTATAAATTCAGGAGGTTTTTGTCTCTTTTTTTAAAGAAACTGTTCTGTAAAATTTGTAAGACGTAGCAGTCTGTATTTTAACTAGTTATTTATTTGGATCATCTGACAGGGATGGCTGGAATCTAGGGAATCTGAATACTTTTAGCTATCGATTCCTGGTTGTGGTTCATAGACAAATAATTGGAGGAATCGAGAATCAAAATTTGGCATTGACCCATCGCCATGTAATAACAACTATGGTAGACTTCAGAGTGAAATAAGGCCTGTTTGGCAGCAACTTAACTTACTAATGCGATGCAGTTTCCCTATAACGACCCATTAGTGTTATTTATTTTAAATTTCATTTTCAGAAACCAGAGAAGGAATGCTCGGATTCAAAACTCAAAGAAGAGGTGGAAAGATTGAATGAAAAACTAAAAGAAACCAAAGACATTATGGCTGAAGAGAAAGAGCTGTATGAGAGTGACAAAGATAGCTGGCTGAACGTCAGGAAAGGTTTACAAGATGAAGTCAACTCTCTGACTGACAAGGTTGCGTCACTCTCAGCCCAAGTCAAGGAATACTCTACAAGCTGGCAAGCACTCCAGGACGGCCCTGATGCTATAAAAACCTCTTTGGCAAACGCCACTATCAGGTAGTGCTATTGGTTCTACGATATCTTAATTATTTTAGCCTATGTGCTATTTATTAGTATTCATGCCTTGACCTTTAAATCACTACTTAACTTGTTCACTCACAGATAAATGTATCCTACCTTAAATCTTTACTTATTCCGTATAAAACAGTTGTACTTCAACGTTGCTTCTCTTTAGATCACCGCAAATATTAGTGTAGAAAAAAAGAGCTGTTGATTTGTAAACACTTTTTAAAAACAAACTTATCCTTTTCTCCTACAGGTTAGGTGATCTCTCATCCGAAAATGAAAAACTTAAAAGGAAGAGCTCGGTATTACAAGAGTTACAAACACAAATGAAAAACGAAAAAGATTGTCTCCACGAAGAACTGGTCTTGCTTAAGAATTCTTCAAAGCATAGTATTGAAGAACTAAAGAGAGAAAGGGTAAATACACAATTGGTTGGAGTCAATTGTTTAACAGCATTAAACTTGCTCAGGCAAATTTCATTTGAAAGGAAGAAGTAGAGTAAACAATTGTGAGCGAAAGTGGAAGATGCTTGTGCTAGGCGTCAATAGTGGTTTTCAAAATACTATACTGTTCATGATTTCCCTTACACAATAGTTAACAGTGACGTTTTTACATCAATTTTTGTAAATGAAAGTTATCAATTATGCAAACGAAAAAGAAAACCCTGCCATATTACAAAAACAAAAGTAAAGGACAACAAATATCCACGATGCTTACAATTTTTTTATTATGTTATTAATTACTATGTTTATGTTTATGTTATTATTTTAGGGAGTGTTCTAAAAGCACCAAAATGTAACTTTTTTGTTGATTTTTAGTACTGTGAAACAACAAAATTTTTTTTTGCAAAGAACTGTTTTTTAACACTAATACCGAAACATTACCCAGGCTGACGCTAACCGAAACCCCCGGTCTGTGAGACCCCATTTGAAAATAATGGACCCCGCTTAGAAACACACAAACCGAAATCCTGGGCCTGTGAGACCCCGCTTTAAAATAAACTAACGCTGGGCTTCTGAGACCGGCATGTTATGAACATACAACCCGTCGAGGTCACGGCACCCACGCAAAATGAACAAACAATATATCAACAGGTAGGGGAGGAAAAGGGGGGAAGGTATTGGGGAATGGAATCCCCAAGTAAACAGTGTTGCCAACATGCATTTGTGAAAATTCCCGTGGGCCTGTCAGACCGGGGTTTCGGTAAAAGTGTTAAGTATTCTCAGTTCACAAAAATATACAAAAATAAAAAAAAAATAAAAAACTGAATACGATCAAAGTCGTAAAAGATGTATAGCCAGTCATCTTAATTTATAATATAAAATATTTTTTAATATACATTTTCAAGAAAATTTAAATCTTTTCAGTGCTTATTGATGTGTTTTTAGCTTATCCATTTACATTTTTATCTTTTTATTTAACTTTTCTAGGATAAACTGGATGCAGAGTTGAAAGCTCTACAGAGTTCTCATTCACTCTGTTACCCTTTCGCTGAACTGGAGGAAGCCAAGAAACAAATAAATAAGCTGACAGTTAAATACAGAGATCTCATCACTAGCAAAACCTCACTGGTATGTGTAAATGTTGTATTATTAATTAAATATCCGCTTTTCATTCTTAATTAATTCATTTGTTATTTTGTTTTCTCATTTGCTACGGGGTTGGTGAGAAAAACACTGCAATTAAGTACAACCGAATTCCAAATTCACAATTATATAAATCACAAACACATATTATGGCTTTTTTGGACCTACACAATTATTATGGTAAAAGTTAAAAGAAACGATTCTTTAGTCGTCTTTTTAGTTGTGTGCCTACAACCTAGGAGTAAAATTTGGAACTACGCTTGGGCGTTGGGTTCACCAGTTTTGTTAGTCTGTTAGAGAGTTAGGTTTCATCAATGGTCGAGCGACCTCGCTGTATAAAAGACAGAACTGTAAATCCCAGCCTGGTCAGGTTACAAGTGCAATTCTTGCGGCATTCGCCTGTCAATGCAGATTTTGGGAGAGAGGCTCTCATAAAATAATTGGCTCAAAGGGTTAATGAAATTGAAGTCTCCTCAACTTAACTGATTCACAATTTGATTTTTTAGGTTATGACTTCCACAATGTAGATTACTGTTGTCATTTCAAGTGCAAGTATGAACCAAATACTAAAACCTGTAGACACTTCTATTGTTGAATTTAATGTTTTCCAGGATGATGCAAACAACAAATTGATCAATCTGTTGAAGGCACAAGTTGAACTGCTACAGCAAGATGGAGAGCAAAAGGATAAGGTAAAGCTGATTTATTAGTTGGTCAGATATTGCTGCTCCCATTGTATTGTATTGTATTGTATTGTTGAGGGGTGGACTCAGGATCCCAGCACATCAACCAAAAGTTACTGTGCCTGCCCGACATGCCACTAGCTAGGCAGTCATTTCCTGTGTCTTTGACAAGGTCTGGAATCACTGCCCAATGTTTGCGTCTGGTTCATCACCCGACTTCTTTGACCAAACAGGACCGTTCTCCGAGCACCAAGTTTGTAGCAATCCAGAATGATTTACCTTGCAGTCGTGTCGGACTGGCTGCAAAATAAATAAAATAAATAAGGTCTTTATTCTTGAGCGAATTTTAGTAACAAAACTGTTTTACAAATTTAATCGAGTCTGGACCTAAGCTAAACCAAAATTCTTAACACTACAAAACAAAATTAGTACGAAACAATCCCGGACGGACATTGTATTTGACATCCTACGGTGACTTGTGATATGATCATATTTTTAAAGGATGTATACGAACCATAGGGAGCAATTCTGTAGCCTGTGAAGTATTGTGATCTGTTCCTGTGTTAAACTGTATCCAAAAACAGGTGGGCAGTAGTTTAAGGTAGGGAAAATAAGGAATTTGGCCAACCTCAACTTGATTTATTCTGGGAGCAATGTTCTAAACCTATTAAGCACTTTTAATTTTCCAACTACACGTTTGCTTATTCAATTCAATTCAATATTTCTTTATTCATTAAAGCACAAAGAACATGAATAGTGTCATTCTCTTACATGTTTTTTACATTACAATGTTCTTACATTCTATAAATACAAAGTTCTTAAAAGTAACACAAGTTTATACAAATTCAAAATTAACACTCCTTCTAAAATTCTACAGTTTATCAAAGGAATACAATACCTTGTTGATGAGAAATGTTTTAAGACCCCTCTTAAATCCCACCATGCTTTTTGCCGATTTAATTTTGTTTGTATTTAATTTTAATTATTTATTTATTTCGTTTAATATTGTAGTTTCGTCTCAGTAGAGTACGCTCTTAGTCTGAAATGGAACTACACAAATTCCAAATACAATATTGTATCAAATATGTTACCAACTAACAACTATACAGTGCAACCTTTTATGTCTTTCCCTAGCCCTCCAAGTGTCCCTTGTTTTGGCCTTAATGTCTGCCTATTTTTTGCTAATTTGCAAGGTTTTATTAAAACGGATCTGAGGAGCTTGAAAACAATGTTAATTATACTGTTCTATATACCATTTTGTTTGGAAAATCATGGGCTTCAATATTATACATAGAACATAAGGAACATTTGTTTCAAAAAAATCTTTTAGGTAAAAAAAAAAAAATTTGGAAAATTAAAAAAAAAAATCTAAATTTTATGAGGATTACAAATATATAATAATATAAGGAAGTAGATTTGCAAATAAATAAGTTATGGGCAAAAAACAGATTTCAGTACATAGCGTTTAGCTTAGAATGCATAGCCTAACCATAGCTAGGAATCTGGCTGATAATTTACATCAATATCACTACCTACTTCTTCAGGATCATCAACCAGCCTTTCAAAATCACTTAAATCTTCTTATAATGCACCACGTATATCACTACTTTTGATTTTTAACACTAAAACAGTGATAAATGTAATAAAACACATCAGTCATCGGTCCGAGGATAACCAAGCTGTTTACAAATACGCACGTCAGCTGTCTGCTACAATATTTTTGGAACTAAAATGAATAGAGTTTAGAGACAGACCTCCGGAGAAAGCTCTGAATCTGTAAAATAAAACGATACCGAACTCGATCCAGTTCAATCCGATTTTGTCAGTCATAGAGCCTTCGCCGTAAACAGTGTTTGTGAGTCGCTGCAGCGACAAATAACACTCCGAGGGCTAGAGGTTCTAAAAGTTCTTCCAAACTTCAAATTGTAATTGTTTGCTTGTTGCAGATTCCTGAAAAAGAATCCAAATTGATAAAGCAAAATGATGGTAAACAAGAAAACAAAAGCCATGCTGAGAAAATGTACAGTCTTGTTAAAGGTAAGGAGTGTATCACATAAACCGATGTTGTCTTTTAAAACTTTAAACTTTTGTAAAAACATTTTATAATGGCTATTAGTGTTTAGAACCTTAAAATTTTAAGAAGAAAAAGTTGACATAAGATAATAACTATGATAATTTCAAGTCATATTTCTCAGTTGTCAACCTTTGTCTGTGTATTGAGCTCTTGACAATATGTTTGATTATTTACCAAAGATAAACAAAATATGAATCTAAGCCTGTATAAATATACTAATATTCATAAGATATGTTTGTCAAACATAAAACTCTTCAAATGATGAACTTAAATTCAAAATAAGTCATAATGTCAAATAGGATGGATTAATATTGGTGGTTTCACCATTCAGATCAGCTGAAGGAGTCTGAAGAACACTGTAAAGAGTTGGAGGGTCAGTTGGCTGGACTGGTGCAGCAAAACTTGGCTCTACAGCTGGTAGAGGCAGAGTTGAGAGATCAGCTGGTCAACAGTGTGCCACACAGCAGACTTGTAGAGCTGAGAGAACAGCTGACTCAGTCAGACAAACTGGTGGTAAGGGTAGAGTATTAAGTAGTTTAAATGTAAACATTCTTGCCACCACGACTGATAGTATGATACACACAGTATATACAGTATAGTAGATAACGTACCTTTGTCCGTCTTCAGTCTTGTATGTAGTATTCTGAGGATTGCTAATTTTCGATCGTATAAGTATAAGACCCATTGTCAAATCCATCATATTTTATAGTTAGGCTGGGTACACTTAAATTGAAACAAACCGACACAGGCTGCTTGGCAAACCCGACACAACTAGTGTTGGTGGAAATTCGCCTATAATGTCTGTTTTCCTGGTGTACTGGGCAGTGACGTAGCCAGGGGGGGGGTTCCTGGGGGCTGGACCCCCCCCGTTCCGGTCTTAAATATAATATTTTTTTGTTAAATTAAATGTAAAATTATATAATCATACTATATTGACGTTGGGGTTGATTATTTTCAATGCCAAGAGAGCTAAAAAAACCCGTTTTAGGGCCTATATTTTTTAAATTTTTCCCGGATCCTCCTTTTACCTAGGGCCCCCGGTCGGTCGACCCCCCCTATTTTTTTGAAATCCTGGCTACGTCACTGTACTGGTCAGCTGGACACTCGAATCGGTTGGTATTTCAGAACAGAACACATGTCTTTGTGACAAAAATCAATCGTGGTGACTCTTCTCTTTTTCCCCATTGCTAAGCAAGACTGATTACAGTACATGTTCTCGCTGTAAAAAACTATGGGTGCTGTCTTTAATTAGGTAGGTAACTTTTTATTTGTATTTATAGTTGGAGTTAAAGGCAGAACAAAGCAAACTACTAGAGAGAGTTTCATCAGCTGAAGACAAGGCTAAAGCTTTAGAAGAGCTGAGACATTGTCACGATTACCAACACGACTCATTGCAAAGACAAGTTCTTGAGCTGACGGCTTCTAGTGAAGACAAAGCTACTATTGGTATGTTGTCCATACACTCTTTCCAACTCAAACTTCAATTTATTGGGATGAAAGTCAACAGGATAAGTTTGTGAGTGAGCAAATCAATTGGCATAATTCACTAGAGTATTTAACCTATTCAGTTTGGTTCTTTTCCATTGTACATTGCTCACAAATCACTGAGCCTATTTGGATTACTAGTTAAACCTTCTTATCTAGTAAAAAATATTGGTTTTAAAGTGAACGCTGAGTCGAATTTGTGTGGTATTCTCAGTTTCAAGAAAAAATGATTATTTTACGTAGGTTTACCAGGTTCTTAAATATTGTAATTTGTATATAAATAGCATAGTGTAAAAGTGAGGTTAAAACAAACGCTGTTCTTGAGGATGCCACACTTATGGCAAAATTTTCATCGGGCTTATGAATCTACAATCTTCAAGAACCTGGCAATCAAGGTAAACCAACATGCTTAATCAAACTTTTTGGGTTTGTAGTATTTATTGATGAAATCAGCTTTGGTGTAGCTAAAAATATTTTTAGTTTTTAAGTTGTCCATTTTTGATGATAAAGAATTTAGGTCCTCTAAAAGATTATTGAGGTAATTTTCCATTGATTTGTCAAACAGAAGTTGATGTTTCATAATCCCGAATCTGGACCCTGTCTTTAAGTAGGGTATGTAAATTCCTAAAAAAAATTGGTTGTAAAAAAATTAAAACATTACACGTGAAATTGTATAAAATGTTAATCAATTTGGTCTCTAGGTCGCTTAACAAGAGAATTACTGAGAGCACAGGAAAGTGAACTAGCTGCCTCAAAGCAAATTGTGGAAATGAAAACCAGCTTAGAAAAACTACAGAACATGTGCTCGGAACAAGAACGCAACATGAAAAATATCTGCAACCAGCATCTTAGAGAAAAAACCGAAATGCAATCAAAATACAGGTGAGTAAAAACCCATGGTTTTAACTTGAACTATTATAGGCTATGGACCTTTTATTGTCCACTAGTTTCTGAGGTCAATAAAAGCTGAGGTAAATAAAAGCTTTTAACTGATGAAAGGTCAACTTATTGTAATAGGCTGTTCAAAAAATTTAGGCGGTTTAAGGGAAAGTTCCCTCACTACTTTTTTTGCTTAATGCATGTTGAAGCTGATTGAAGTTTCGGCAAAACATCAGCTGTTGAGCAATTGTTTAAAAGGTAGGATTAAGTGGAGATGATAGATTTCTTCCCTTATAACAGCCTAAATTTGTTGAACGGAGTATAACAGTTAGTTGTTCTTAGTGTGGCTTTGGTGAACAGTTGGGATATTCAACCAAAATAAATACCTACCAAAACTGGTTTAAAAACCGACTTCTGTGTAGTACAATTCTTATTTGTGCTGCTACTAGTTTTGACTTGCCAAATAATCTTCTTTAAACATCGAATCACTCCATCAAAAGGTTTTTAATCCACATGCAGTATATTTGCATGTAAACAGACACACAGGAACATAAAAAATAGGAGATAAAAATTATAACACGTTTCATAAAAACAATTGGCAGTAACAACGGTATCAAGAAATGATGTGAAACGACCATGTAGCTCGAGACTGAAAAAAATTGTTATGTACATTAACGCTGGCTCAATTCAACATATATTTAAATTCTAAGACTGGCACAAACTTTAACATTGAAATTGAACGTCAAGTTCTATCCATTTTTAAACATTCTATATTCATCCTTCACCTATATTCAGTTAGACGCAGCATCGTGTCCTTGTCTCTAATGATACTGTTGTTAGGTGGCTGGCCAGGACTGTGAGTGACCTACACCAGCGCTATCTAGGACATCTGTCACTACTGTCAACGGAGAGTATGCAGAGTATGTTGGCACAAGCCAGGTTTGAGAAGACCAATGCGCTGGCTGCGGCTACAGCTGTCATGAGTGCTGACAAGGTGGTAGAGATGGTGAACAACCAGTATAACGAAGCTGACGGAGTCACTGCCTCTAAACTGCAGGTCATTGTAGTTTAGAAAGCTTGCAGAACACCCTAGATGTGTTTACTTTCAACTTAAACATTTTGAAAAAGTTTTTATATTGGAAATTAGAATTTGATTTGATAAAAATATCATTATTTGGTATAGATGGAGAGTAATTTGGAAAGTTGCTAAGAATAAGAATGTAACGTAATAAGTAATTATATTTACTCATTATTGAGAATCACTGCTTCGTTTAAGGGAAACATACAGAATTTTTAGCTTGAATCAGACACCTGCAAAAACAAAGACAAAAAACCTGGTGTATTTTTTTTTTTAGTGGGAGTAATTGTAGTAGTGGGTTAGTAAATTCTCTACTAATAATTATCTACCATATATTACCTGACATGCATTTTTAAAAGCTAATAAATAAAATACAATTGTAGGAACTAAAACTCAAAGTCCAAGTTCAGTCTCTGGAATCTCAGCTTGCACAAACCGAGGGACAACTTCAGAGGATTGAAAAGTTGAGTGCCGTCCTTCAGGAGGAATTGGTGTACCAGGAAAACTGTTGGGAGAACAAACAGGTCATTTGGGAACAGAAATTGGTAAGTTATTAAATGTCAAAAGGTATAAACTAGCATAATCTGCATACATTTTCTCTACAATATAATTTTCCAGGATATAAAGATCAAGTGTTTTACAGTCTATATTTTTAAAGTGGCTTTGAGATTTTTCAGCCTGTTAAAGCATTCCTTGTGTAACTCATTGTCTGAATTCAAGGATTTAAGCCCCACTGTAACATGATTGATCTGAAATGTGTTTATTTTATTCTTGAACCAGATAATACAAAAACCAAAAACTAAATTAAAATCCTTTAAAATCTGTTCCAGCAAACATTATGGTAATTTTACCGTAAGCCTAAATCTATTTACAAAATCGCTGACTTTAGGTTTATTCAAATTCTAGCTGGGAAATCTCTCTGTGACATCTCCTACAGAGGAGAAAACCAAAAGTGCCGAGTCTTCAGATGACGTTGTGACTGGGAACATGACAGCTGATGTTACTGAGGTTTCAACTGATCACCCTGACACCCAAGTAGTTGTGAAAGAAGCTGCTGGGAAACAAGAAAAAGAAACCGTGCCTTCACCAAAGGTTGTTGTCTTTCCTGAACCAAGATTGGCCTCGGAGTGTGAGAGCATCAGGATTCTGAACAACCAATTGAATCAGGTCTGTTTCACAGTATTATTTCCAGCAGTGGTTTCCAAAATAAAATAAAATCCTTACTTTTAATAGTATTCATAAAATTTATAGAAATTTACTAATGCAAAAGAATTATTTTTAGCTAATTTCAATTTCCCGATCATTTAGTTGTAAAAAAGGTGCAGTAAAATAAATATAAATACAGGTATAATTTAGTTGTAATAATGAGGCTCAACATGACTAGTTTAGTTATTCTATCTCATTTACATCTCAAAATCTCGATAATTCAGTTATTTGTAACTCAACCTTTTTGAACTTGGTGTAATTTGATAGGAAATTTTAAATTTGTAATACAAGTGGTCTTGAAGTTTTTTTCTTTAAATCAGCCATTTTTTATTACTTTCAATTTAAAAATAAAATGGCCTCGATTTTAAAATTTTGAATTGGACTATAATAATTTTTATTACATGATTTTCTTTAGACTTAACATAAATACCAAGATCCATAAAGATCAGTTTGAAATGTTTATTTAAAAAATACAAAATGGCGGATATCTTGTTAACAAAGCGATTATGGAAACAAATTTCTTTATTGTTTTTTTCTTTATTTTGACTAATATACCTTTTTCCCAGAGTTTGGCCGTTTACACCCTGTATATTATTAGTCAGATTTAAACGTTTACTGAATGATTAATCAAACAGGTTACAACACTGATGAATGAACAAGCAAAAAAACTAAACCAGTGTGAAACAGAGATATCAGAATTGAAAAGCAAAATGGAGTCTTTGAAAAGACAGTTGGATGATAAAGAAAGTAAGTTGAAAAATAAAGAAAAAGAACTTCTAGATTTGCAGACTTCTTTGACTGATAAAGAGAAGGAGAAGATAGAGGAGGAGTCCACTGAGGTTCTTGCTCTGAAGGTATTTATTAAGTTGAAACTGTAACTATTTACTATTGTATCCATTGTCTCTTGTCTATACTGGTCTGAATTTGGTCTTTTTTTAACAATGCATGGTTCATCATTGGGTGGTGACAATCAAAATCAGCAAAGATAATATGATGCAAAGATACAATTTTCTTAAAAGAAATAATTTTGTCCATTAGAGGCTTCTATATTTGCACTTTTAGTGTAGTATAAGACTTTTTCTTTACTTTACTTTACTTTGTAATGAAATGGTGACCATGCAAAATAGGTATTTTAAGCCAAGTATGAATGGAGATAAGTGGCGCGATCTTGTAGTCTTGTTAGTGACTAAGGCCGACATATTCCTTAGACACAGCTGTTAATTAATAGATCATACAGTTTTTTTCAACTAAGGGACCTACAGTTTATAATGGAATCCTAACCACATTTTTGCCCTGATATATGAATGAATGAATGAATGAATGAATATATAGTTTATTCCAAAAAACATTGGCTACAAACAGTGATTATAAAATCAAATATACTTAACAGAGACTTATGACACTTAACAGAGACTTATAGTAATATATACAAATTGGACTAATTTTCAGGATGGTACTGCAGATATTCGTAGTACTCACTTGTGCGGACGTTAATCCACACCAGGGAGTATCGCATCCACAGTGCATGCCTATAAATATCCACAATTCGTGACCTCCTAGTGATGATAGAAGCTCACTAATCTGGTCTTCGGGGGTGCCGGATAATTTAAAATGCTGCATTACTGAACGTCTTCTAAAAACAGCTGTTATTGCGAGACAAGTGAAAAGACCACTAAACTAAGCTTTTGCAAATCGCTCCCCATGTCTGCCAATCGCTCCTTACCTCTGTCTGTTGCACTCTGCTCTGCCAATCGCTACAGACTCTTTCCTGTCCTGACATCTGCTGATCTTTACTAACATCCGCCGTTAAAACAACTTTTGACTTTTACCGCTTCGGATTGTTTCACTGTTTTTGTTGTACTATTCACTACATTATCTTTGATGAAAGGAATTAGAGGAAAGGTGAAGGATGGAGAGAATGGGTCATACCTTCAAGTATGTTTCAGTTTAAGAGCCTGAAATTCTGGATAAAAAATTACAGGTACTAGGAGGGGGGGGGGGGGTATGATTGACTGTTATGATAACTTTTTTAGTGACCAAGATTTAGCCAGGTTCATTTATAAAAAGCCCAATAATCAAGGAGAATTGAATTGAGTAAAGTCCTAAACAATCAAACAACTTCAGACTTTTCTCTTATTGAATTGGTGATCTTATGCTTAATACTAGAGCACTATACTAACTCATACCTCCAGCTATATTATAAGCTCTAAAAGCTGTTATTTTTATTGGTGTAGTAAGGTAGGAACTCATTGGAGCGGCGTTCCCACTCAGCCTTTTTCAAAGCATCTATATATTAATAAGCAACCAGTATTTTCCGCGAGAATGGTGAGCAAGTATAATGTGGAAGTATAATGTGGAACATTTACAGGCAACTGTTGCTAGTCTGCAGAATATCGTGAACCAGAAGGAGGAGACGATCGGACGTTACCAGACGCTGCTTCAGGAGAGTAGAGATGAACACAGCATCACAGTAGCAAACCTTCAGCAGGAACTGACAAGTCTTCAACAGACATTGGACAAGAAGGACAAACCTGCTGACAAGTGAGTGTTGTGTGTTTTGGATGATTCTATTTCATCAATGGATCAATCATTTACTGTTAGATTTTCAATATCCCAGATTAGCTAGGGATAAAGGGGTGAAAATGAAGATAAAGTAAAACCGTTGATTTTTGTTACCAGAGTGGCCAGCTGTGGGTCTTTCAATACATTTTTTATTAAATTTGTTGCTCCCCATAATGTTATTCCATATTTTACTAACGGGTAAAAATAGCCATAGTACAAAATAAGTTTTGTTTCCATGCTGGTACAGTGTGCAAGGCAACTCATATTATTATATTTGAATATATATCATATTGAATTATATTTGACTTGTCTGCATTCAGCAACAGTCCATTTATTTTAAACCAATTTTCTAATTCTTTTATTATTGTCTCTGCTGTAAATTTAATTTTTTCTGTGCTATTATCTCTAATTAATGCTGTAGTATCATCTGCAAACATTACTATATCTGTCTTTATATTCATTTGGAAGATCATTAACATATATTACAAACAAAGCTGGGCCTAAAATGGATCCTTGAGGGACTCCTGAATTTACAGTACAATATTTTGATTCATACGTCATGTTATCTATACTTAATGATGTTTTTTGCATTCTTTTAGTTAAATATGATCTAAACCGTTTCAGACTGTACCCTCTGATTCCATAACTCTGATTCCATAGCTTTTTTAACAGAACATCATGGTCTACACAATCAAAAGCCTTTGACAGGTCACAACAAATTGCTGCAGTGGTCTGTGACCTGTCCCATGCCCTGTAAATATTGTCAGAGAGATGAGTGCTGAGTTGGTGGAGTGAGATTTTCTAAAACCATGTTGACTTTTGGTTCAGTTTTGCTTGGTTGGAAAGTTGGCACACTTGACTTGACAGTAACCATTTATTTACATATTTAAGTGACTCAATTGAACTATATTCATTATCATTATAAACTGACCAAAACTTTAACATGGGAGTAGAGGGAGTCCATGTCATACACACTCTTAATATGAACGAATTCAGAAAAAAACAAAAAAAAAACAAGTATTTAATTACATGCAGTACAATATTGCGAGCACACGGAGCTAAGTGGTCTGTATTGTTCGAGCAGTGGTGCAGGAAATATATTGATCAGCCTGCATGCACACAACGCCTGTATTCAGCTACCTCCTTTATTCCGCCTCGCTATAATATTCCCTGCTACGCAGATTTGTTCAATGCTGCCAAACCCATCTATTGTGGGATTCCCTGTATTTAGTCATCATTATTAAGCAAACTGACTGTAAGGGTTATTATAATATTAATAATCCAAATTTAATAATGTACAGATACCCATGAGGTGGAAAAAAATCAATGGTTTGTACTTGGAAGCATAGTTGGAACTTCTCGAAATAACATGATTGATCAACATTCAAATTTGACTGAAATAATCTAGTAAACAATTAAAACCTAAATTTTATCTACTTCAAATTACTTTACAACCATTGTTTGTTTGACATGAATGTCTAGGGAGGGCAAAACCAAAGGCGAGAGTATGGCAATGAAGGTTATCTTGGAGCGATACCTAGCGAAAGTGCGAAGTCTGGAGGACGACCTGTCACAGACCAGAGACCAGGCTGCTCGGCTGGCGGCTGATCTGACCGGCGCTCAGCAACAGACAGACAGATGGACTCACACTGCTGAGGAGAGACTCAAGACTATACAGGAGATGAAACAAAGGTTAACTTACTTATAAGTGACGTTTTACTAATTTGATCTGATTCTTTGTCTACATGAGTCTTTTTCACTAGTTAGTCTAGTGGGGTTAGAGTGAGCCTCCTGTCTTGGAGTCCTGAGTTCAAAGTCATTTTTTTTAGGCAAGGAGAACATTGTTGGGTTAAAGTTCCAAGTCCTAAGTCCTTCAGAGCAGCATCAAGTAATTGCAAGCAAAGCATGATTTTATTTGTTGTTGTTATTGTATTAGTTTTGTATATGTGTAAATATACAGTTCTATGCCAGTTTGGATATTAGTTTAGTTTTTTTCATTTTATTATTGGTCAGTAACCTCCAAAATACAGTACGCAGATAGATTTGTATTTATGACAAACATCTAATTTAATAATTTCTTTCTAGGCTTGACAGTGCAAGAAGCAAAGAAGATCTAACTGATACCAATTCTGAACTAATGGAAAAATCTGCTGAAATAGACAGTTTGAACAGAATCATCTGCAATCTTAAGGTAATTCCATAAGTTGAACTTCTGTTAAATTCCGATATTATTTCTATAAGATTAAACATATATTATTATAGAAATATCTCTGATTTGTGTAATTGGTTTATTTAGGCCAAACTCGAGTCCAGAGAAACAGTTTCAGCTTCTAGAGACAGACTGAGAGGAGAACTAGATCGAGCTAATAAAAGAATTGATGTCATACAAAACCAGAATACCGAACTGAAATCTGAAGTTCAGAGATTGCGCAAACAGCTGACATTGAGGTAACAAATAACAATAACTTGTT